CGACGCGGCCTCACCTTGGACACCATTTTCTTGAGCTGGCTCTCTGACACCGCCATGACGGCCTCCTCACGACTCCCGTCCCCGCAGGCAGAGGGTCAGCCGCTGCGGGGCCGTCCCAGGCCGCCCCAGACAATCGCCAGCCGAGCGGCCTGCCCCCCACCCCCCACCTCTCACAACAGGAAGTCAGCACCATCGCGGCACTTCCGCTTCCCTTACGTCACTTCCGGGCCCGAGGTTCGGCCGAGATGGGTGGTAACCGAGCGCGGCGGGATGAGCGGGGCTTGGTGGGCGGACAGACCCCCCTTCCGCTCCTGTCCTGCGGCTCTCTGGCAAAGCTTAGGGCAGGCTGGTTCTAAGGAGCGGGATTCTGGGCCGGGTAAGAGGGGCAGGTGTAAGGGAAGCCGGCGGGGCTTTCTGGAGCGCCTTCATTCTCGTGAAGCAGGTGGGCCGGCGGGGCTGTTCGCACGGACTTGTCCTAGGGACAATGACATGGGCAACTGCACTTGCAGTGCCGACTGAAGTGTTTCCCAATTCTAACAGGATCTGCGTTAGATCATGCGCAAAGGTTCTCTGATGATCAGACTTATCTTTCGAGTTTGAAAGTCTTAACATCCTACGTTGGCAAGGGCAAAGGGTTGGAAGCTCTTTTCTCAGGATGCCAAGCCCTATGTCTTCTCCAAGATAACCTTTTCCTCAAAAAACATGTGTGCCCAGATACAAAAACAGGAAGGCTGCATTCTACATTGCCTTATATCTGTGTCCTAGCCTGACCACCTTTCAAGACAGGTCCTTGAAGACAGCCTGTTTTTCCTATCTTCATTGCCTTCGTTCAGCGCATGTATTCGATCGTATGTGAAATTCCCGTTCAAGTAAAGGCTCACTACGTGATTAGTCTTAGGTTTGATGATGTGAATGGATTATAGCTCTAGTGAGAATAAGGCTATGGCACTGATTCTCTTATAAGTTAGCATCTAAGTGGAGGTCACATACATGAAGGGCCCTAATTAAAAGCATATAGAAGACTCATCATAAACACACACAGAGGCTAACCCAACAGGTATCATCATTAGATAAGTTAATTCTATAAAGTTATTTCTAATCTGTTAGTTAAAACAAAAGATTAGTCTACTGCCCTTGCAGTGTTTTTTTTGTTTTGTTTTTTATCAGTCATGGGGCTTGAACTCTAGGTCTGGGTGCTGTCCCTGAGCTTTTCAGCTCAAGGATAGCGCTCCACCACCAGAGCCACAGCATTACTTCCCGTTTTCTGGTGGTTAATTGGAGATCAATGTCTCGGACTTTTCTGCCTAGGCTGGCTTTGAACAGCGATTCTCAGTTATCAGCCTCCTGAGTAGCTAGGATTAATTACAGGCATGAGTCACCAACGCCTGGCCCCTGCAGTTTTTTGCCTGCTTAAAAATATGGTTTTCGGAGCTGGGAAGTTGGCTCAGTGGTAGAGCGCTTGCCTTGCATGCCTGAGGCCCTGGGTTCGATTCCTCAGCACCACATAAGCAAAAAAGAAAAAACCCGGAAGTGGCGCTGTGACTCAAGTGGTAGAGCTCCAGCCTTGAGCTAGAGCTGAGAGACAGCGCCCAGGCCCAGAGTTCAGGCCCCACGACCGGACCCAAACAAAACAAAACAAAACATGGTTTTCAAAATATTCTTAAAGCCACAGCATACTTAGAAGTACCTTCAATTACTGCAGTTCTGCTTTTGTGAATTGGAGGAGTGCTAGGTAATAGATATCTTATAAAGTTTTCTTAGCCAGGCATAATAGCATAAGTTTGTAATCCTATTAACGGGGGAGGCGAAGGAAAAAGGATCATACATTCATGGGGGAAAAAAAGTGATAAAAGCTGGTCTTTTCATTTTGTATACAGGCTGCTTAAAATGAAATAATTAAATGTTCTGAGTGCTGTGTGAATCATACGAAAACACTAAAGAAATCAGGCATCATTAGGTCATTTTAAAATCAAGTTTATTCTTGACATTTAAAGAAAACAATGCAAATTGCAAAATAAAAATACATATCTTCTGTAGTTTCAGAGAAACATTTTAACCCAAGTCCCACTAAAAATCATAAGAGGCACTGCATGATTTTGGGAAAAAGTTAACTGATGGTGGCAATGGTCACTTTCTTATCACAGTGAACTTGCCACATAATTGTTAATGTACTTAAGCATATGTTTGATACAGAGTATTGCTTCTATTTCTTGGCCTTCCAGAGAGTGAGGACTATTACTCATCTTCAAATATTCAAATTCTAACACAATACTTGGAGAAACAGTAGGTGTTCAAGAAATATACTGTATTGAAATGTTCCATTCAGAATATAATCAATTTTTGGCAATTCTATTGTAACTATTTTGCAATTGTTCATTAGAAATCAGATTTAAGAATGAATCCAATTTCTAACTACCATTTATTAAAAATGCTTATCTTTCCAATATGCAACATTTTTTGTCTCTTTTTTTTTTTCTTCCAGTGCTGGGAACAAACCCAAGGCTTTGGGCATTTTAGGCAGGTGCTCTATCCTTATTTATATACACTGGGCACAAATGTCTATGGTCTTTATCCAGTTAAATCTGGGAACCTTTCCAAGCTATTAATTTTCAGCTTTCTTAAACAAGGTATATGGAATTCCATCTGCTGATCACCATTATCACTATCTACTATTAAGTAAACATTAGATTATTTCCTTTCTACCTAGGATACATGTGTCACTGACAACCCATTTGGCTTCTATTATCACAGCCAGATTTGGATTTACTTGTTGTATGCCTCTAAAACATGTTGGACTTCTTCACAGTACTTACTATATTTGCAGCTGTACATTTATTTGTGAGATTTGATGACTGTGTTTCTCACAGTCTATTTTCTTTCTTATACTAGCTTATAAGCACCAGAGGGTTTGTATCTAGTCCAGACACGTTCATCATTTGTACCTGCTTTGTAATAACTCCTATTAAGTATTAGCTAAATGATTACAAATAAACATCGGCGTCAGTATATACCCACCCACTATTTGCTGAGGATATATCCCATAAGACAGAGAATCTTTCCAAACACTTTTTTTTTTAAAGTAAGCCACTATATATGCCACGTGCTGGTACACCTGTGGTCCTAACTACTTAGAAGGCCAGGATCTGAGGATTGCAGTTAAAAGCCAGCCTGGGCAGGAAAGTCCATGAAACTATCTCTAATAAACTACTCAAAAAAGCTGGAAGTAGCACTGTGGCTCAAGTGGTAGAGCACTGGCCTTGAATAAAAAAGAGCTCAGGAACAGCACCCAGGCCAAGAGTTCAAGCCCCAAGACTGGCAAAAAATTAAAATTAAAATAAAAAAAAAAGTCACTACAGAGAATAAAACTTTCATAGTACTCAAATCCCCAACTTTTGGGTCTTGTAATGATCATTGGCTGTTAGGACTTTTTTCCCTTTTTGGTGTCTACAAAGTTGAAGTTGTATGGATATGTAGTGTCCTTTAAAAGCCATAAGATTGTACTTAATTCTACTTAATAAAATAATGATGGTAATAGTGCCTACCTCAGTGGATTATTTTGAGGCTACAATAAATAAAGCACTAGGCACAATGCCTGGCACAGAAAATTACTGATTTAGCTGCTAAAATAGTTGTGCATCACAATAGTACCAACATGGTATCTTTCACATACAAAAATATTATTGTCCTACCAGTAAAGCATATGTATGCTAAGTGATTTCTTCTGCAATGATTAAAAGATTTGTTCCGTCCATTCAACCTCTTTTCCCTTAATACCAATGGCTTTTCATGAAAACCTCATATTTTGACCTAATAAATGGTTTGTTATTTATATGTCCATTAAAATATACATTTCTCTATGCTTTTACTAATACCATAGTTTGTGACATGGAAATCTTAAACATCCCAGGAAGATGTAATACAACATTTCAGAAAAGAAATTCCACTAGAAATTAAATTATATGTAATGTTTTCTTTATATGTTGAAATGTGTTATTATTTTAAATTTAAAACTGTATTTTTATTATTTTACTATTTAAATAGGTGTACAGAGCCTTTAATTATTTAAAAGTAAATACATGATTCTTTTCTAAGCACCAGGGGCTGATATCTATGACCACAGTACTCAGGATACTGAGAAATGGGATCACTATTCAAAGCCAGCCCGGCAGACAAAAGAAGGGAATAAAGCTATGGCTCAAGAGGTAAAGTGTCAGCTGTGATCAGAAAAAGCCAAGGGAGAGGTAAAAGCCTTGAAGTTCAAGCCCCAGTATAAATAATAATAATAATAAATTATTTTTGATAAATTTTTGTTTTTAGATGTACTAGGGTTTAACCTCAGAGCTTTATGCTTGCTGAGCAAGTTTGCGCTACCATTTGAGCCACTCTGCTAGTCTCTCTTTTCTAGCTTTTGGTAGTTAATGAATTTTGAAGAGTGAAAAATAAAACACTTTGCCAAGTGGATTCTGCAAAAAAAAAAAAAAAATACTAATACCATAAGCTGTGAATCTTTGGAATGTGTACCTAGTCTTGATTTTATAAGTAAGGCCCATTCTGACCTTTCTGCTTTATGTTTATTATAAATGTCAAAGAGCAGTTGTTTAAAATTTATTTCTTACAAGGTATTTCCAAAGTGCTAAATGTGCTTGAGTTTAGGATATACAATTCAAAATTATGTACACTGAAGAATAATAGTAATCTCTGTTGTAGGTTTAAAGAACAGAATTGTTACATCAAGAACCCCAAAGCGCCGGGTGCCGGTGGCTCACGCCTGTAATCCTAGCTACTCAGGAGGCTGAGATCTGAGGATCGTGGTTCAAAGCCAGCCCGGGCAGGAAAGTCTGTGAGACTCTTATCTTCAATAAACCACTAGAAAACTGGAAGTGGCGCTGTGGCTCAAGTGGTAGAGCACTCGCCTTGAGCTGAAGAGCTGAGGGACAGCGCCCAGGCCCAGAGTTCAAGCCCCATGACCGACAAAAAAAAAAAAAAAAAAGAACCCCAAAGGAAATTAGATTTTTAACTTGAACTTTTTAAAGACTCAAATTAGAAAGCTACCAAGAAACCGTCTATTTTAACCAAGCAAGGATAAGTAAAGATACAGAATTTCTCAAACTTATCTGTGCTGGCAAAATTAAATGACCTTTCTTCCTTAGGTAACTATACTTGAGAATCAAAGTTTTAACTGTTGTTGGAGACCATGGATTGTGGATGCACTGCTTTGCAGTTTCTCAGCTACTGTGTCTTCTTTCACTGTGTTTCTGATCACTTCAGATACGCCAGTGGCTCCAAGGATGCAAGGCAGACTTAAAAACACTTCACTATGTATATCGTAATATCCCTGAGATGAAAAGAGTAAGGATTATAATAGATTAATCATTCTAAAAAGTAATACAATATAATTTTCACCATTAATTTTATACATTTGAACAGTCTTGCTATGTAATCCAGGCTGGCCTTAAACTCATTATGAAGCTGGCATTGGATCTGAGATTCTCTTGCCTTAGGCTCTCATCACAAGATTCATAGTTATGTACTACCATGTCTAGCTTTATTTACCAATTTTTTTTTTTCAGTTGGTCATGGGGCTTGAACTCAGGGCCTGGTTTACCAATTGTTTTTTTTTCAGTTGGTTATGGGGTTTGAACTCAGTGCCTGGGAGCTATCCCTGAGCTTTTTGTCTCTACCACTATGAACCACAGTGCCACTTCTGGTTTTCTGGAAGTTAACTGGAGATAAGAGTCTCATGGACTTTCCAGCCCAGTCTGTCTTTGAATTGCAATCCTTAGATCTCAGCGTTCTGAGTAGCTAGGATTACAGGCATGAACCATGGGTGCCCATCTACTTACTTATTTCTTAAACTCAAATAATAACTTCAGAAAAATTTTGAGACATGGGAAGAACTTGGTCAAGGTATTCCCTTTATAGGTAGGTAAGCAGGCTGTCTGCAATGTGTGTTAGAAGCAGGTTGAAAGCTAAGAAAAATAAGTGGTCAGAATTTCTTGGGGAGTGGGCAGAGTAGGTGTTCTGGATAGTCAAATACGGTAACTTTTTTGTTGCTATTGTGCCAGTCCTGGGACTTGAACTCAGAGGCTGAGAGCTGCCCCTTAGTCTTTTTGCTAGAGGCTAATTCTCTACTACTTGAGCCACAACTCCACTTCTGGCTTTTTGATGGTTAACTGGAATTAAGAGTCTTGTGAACTTTCCTGCCAAGGCTGGCTTTGAACCTCAATTCTCAGATCTCAGCTTCCTGAGTTAAAAGCTACGATTACAGGCATAAGCCACCAGTACCTGACAAATATAATAACTTTTCTTTCCACATTGTATTTCCCTGCTGGAAAATTCTAAATTTCCAAAAATATTTGACTAAACATTTGTAACTTATTAGATGTCATTTACAGAATTTATATGCTGAATAATGTGACAAAAATAAACTGGAGTAGACTAATAACCAGCTTAGACCAGCTAGCACATCAATCAGGGTGAGTTGGTAGGCTGAAGTAACAAAAGACAACCAGAAGTTCAGGTCTTATAAACAATTCTTTTTTTTTGTTTGTTTGGGGTCCAGTTGTGGGGCCTGAACTCTGGGCCTGGGCGCTGTCCCTCAGCTCTTCAGCTCAAGGCTAGTGCTCTACCACTTGAGCTACAGCGCCACTTCCAGCTTTTTTCTTATGTGGTGCTGAGGAATCAAACCCAGGGCCTCAGGCATGCAAGGCAAGCGCTCTACCACTGAGCCAACTTCCCAGCCCCCATATAAACACTTCTTGAGGAATCTTTTTTTTTTTGTCAGTCAGTCATGGGCCTGAACTCTGGGCCTGGATGCTATCCCTCAGCGCTTCAGCTCAAGGCTAGCACTCTACCACTTGAGCCACAGCGCCACTTCTGGCTTTTTCTGTTTATGTGGTGCTGAGGAATTGAACCCAGGGCCTCATGCATGCAAGGCAAGCACTCTACCACTGAGCCACCTTCCCAGCTTCTTGAGGAATCTTGAAAATTATGAAGTGAGAGAGAAACTGAGCAGAAGTCTAGAATTTCCATAGATAACAGGATAATGATACTAAAGATACCTAGATAAGAGTTTGAATAGCACATTTGCTGGTTTTACATTATTAATAGAAAAGGTCAGAATACAAGAGTGAGAGTAACTGTTACCTTTGCGAAAACTGACACAGAGTGTACTTTCTTTTTATTGTTCACAATGCTGTCAACCAGGTCGGCCACTGACAGTCCAACAGACCAGGATCTTTGACCTTTTACCCTTAATAGTTCCATTGCTCTAGGTTTTAAAGACAAAATTCTCAATAAATGTCCAAAATATACACTATTTAGTTTACATTAAGGTATAATATATTTTTATGATATGAAAATAAAAGTTATACATCAATTATTAGGCTAACATACAGATAATTAAGAAACTTCTTTAAAAACAAACTTTTTTTAAAAATTTTAGATGTATACTTTAGAGAAAATACAAATACCCTAATAACAGATGTTTCTTGCCACTTCTTACTATTCTTTTTTTTTTTTGTTGGTTGTGGAGCTTGAACTCTGGGCCTGGGTGCTGTCCCTCAGCTCTTCAGCTCAAGGTGAGTGCTCTACCACTTGAGTCACAGTGCCACCTCCGGTTTTCTAGTGGTTTATTGGAGATAAGAGTCTCACAGACTTTCCTGCCTGGGCTGGCTTTGAACCGTGATCTTCAGATCTCAGCCTCCTGAGTAGCTAGGATTAAAGGTGTGAGCCACCAGCGCTCGGCTTATTCATTATTTTTTATTGTTACTGTAAAGATGGTGTACAGAGGAGTTATAGCTACATACGTCAGGTAATGAGTACATTTCTTTTTGGACAATATCATCTCTTTCCTCATTTTCTCCCAGTTTTTTCCTCTTGAGCCCCTCTCCTACAAGTTGTAAAGTTCATTTCCAACACAGTGTCGAGTATCACTGCTGCATTTGTTCACCCTTTGTCCCACTATTTCTGTGTTCCCCTATACCTTCCTCCAAACAGATCAATGTACATATAAGACAAAAGGTACAGAAATAAAAAATGGGGGGAGTGTAGTTGTGGAGGTGGGAGGGAAGGGATGGTAAGGGAAAAACAAAGGAAGAGGCAACAATGCTTGATAAGAAATGTACTCATTACCTTGCTCATGTAACTGTAACCCCTCTGTATAGTATTTTCACAATTAAAAAACTTATTTTTAAAAAAGAAAAAAAAACAGCAACAAAGAAGGGGGAAAAAAACAAGCAAAATAACCTCTTGCTTCCATTTGCTGGAGTTCATTTTGATAAATATTATTTTATATGATCGTATGCCCATATCTAATGAATGTTTGTAAATATTTAACTAATATGAATTAAAACATCAACGACCAGTTTAGACTATCAAAAAAATGAAACAATTGATGACTAAGAAGCTACAGATAGGTACTCCTGTAACTAATGTTGAGAGTATAAAGTAATCTTTTAGAAAGATTTGGCAAAATCTGATCTAGAAATTCCTCTTGCAGGAGTTTATCTTACAGTAACATGCTCAAATTTATAGACTCAAGTATTTGGAAATAATTAACAAAGGAGATTGGTTCCATAAATCACTACCAAATGCAGTACCATATAGCTATTAAGAAAAACAAGATAAGGCTGGGAAGGGGGCTCAGTGGTAGAGTGCTTGCCTTGCATGCATGAGGCCCTGGGTTTGATTCCTCAGCACCACATAAGCAAAAAGAAAAAAGCCAGAAGTGGCATTGTGGCTCAAGTGGTAGAGTGCTAGCCTTGAGCTGAAGAGCTGAGGGACAGCGGCCAGGCCCAGAGTTCAGGCCCCATGACTGGACTCCCCCCCCCCCCCCCCAAAAAAAAAAAAAAAGAAAAACAAGAGACTTACATGGAAAGATACCCAGATTTACTGTTAAGGAAGCATGTTGTAAGATAGTATGAATAGCATGAATCTATTATAAGAAATAACAATATATTTATAGAAGTATTGAAAACAAACCAGGTGAATTAATAAATTTAACAGGAGTTCTCTCTAAAAGATAGAATTATCCCAGATTTTTACTATCTACTTTATAGATCTTGTAGTATTTGAAGTTTTATTATATGTATATACATTTTTGGTGTCTCACGGACTTTCCTGTCCAGTTGGCTTAGAACTGCAATCCTAAAATCTCAGCTTCCTGAGTAGCTAATATTACAAGCATAAGACACCAGCGCCTGGCCATATATTCTTTTTATAAAAATATAAATTAATCATTTACATTTGTTTCTTTAAAAAAAAAAAAGGAAAGTATAGCTCAGTAGTAAAGCATATGTTTACCATGCTCCAGGCCCTGGGTTTAATCCCCAGTACCACCAAAACAGAACAAAAAAGTTTATAAATGCAAGGTAATTATATACTATTCTTCTCAATAAGAAAGCATTCTTTCTACTTGTTATGATCTAAAAACTACAAGTCAAAAGTTTAAAAGCTAAATTATACCACCACCTAAGAATTTAGATAAATTTGTTATTACGTGGCAGTGAAACAACAAATTATTGAAAATATGTGTGTGTAAATCCAACCTGGGAAGCACAGAACCTGGAAAACCTCAAAATATGGAAGACCTCATAATAAAGGCGAACAGCAAGAATCTGTGGATATACACTTGCCCTATTGAACATATAAAATGACATATTCACATTAGACTGATTTGAAAATATACTTATGCATGATCAATATAATTCCTAAGTGGTTATGGGAAAATTTCCATCTAACTAAGAAAATTGACAATATCCTTAGATGACTGAATGTAAGATGACTGTCTCAACTAAGGAAGATGTTCTACTTTTTAAATGTCAGCTGGAAGAGTTTACAAAGTAATATTAGATGTACCGTGAGGTACGAAATCAAAGACCCTGAATCAAAGACTAGGGCTGGAAAGGTGGCTCAGTGGTAGAGTGCTTGCCTTGCATGCATGAGGCCCTGGGTTCAATTCCTCCGTACCACATAAGCAGAAAAAGCCAGAAGTGGTCTGTGGCTCAAGTGGTAGAGCAATAGCCTTGAGCTGAAGAGCTGAGGGATAGCGCCCAGGCCCAGAGTTCAGGCCCCAAAACTGACCAAAAAAAAAAAAGAAATCAAAGACTATACTCCCTTATACTTTGGAATTTATCCACATTAGGTAGTTTTTGTTAACAGAAGCCTGATAAGAGCATGCTGTATAAACATTTGTGATTTTTAGTTGGATTTGTGCAAATTTGCACTGTTACCTGTTAGACATCTGTGCTTGAGAGCTATGACTCATTCCTTCCTCTTGGCCACCCCATGTGGGCACTAAAAATTAAATGAAAAATTAATTATCTCTTGTCAATGATTCTCTTAGGATTAAGATGTGATAAATGGTCTTTTGCAGTCAAAGGTACCTAAATTAATCTTTCTAAGTAAGTAAGTCTGACTCCTTCTAGCAAGTTATTTTCCACTGATGGTACTGTATTTGCTGAGAAAAAAAATTGAATTATCTCCCCCAAACAACATTCCTAGTCTACTTGTAATCTTCTTATCAGTTCTCCCATCTCTACAACAGCCATTTTACTATTCAACTAGGAACAGTTGTTTCCTCAGTGGGCTGCATATAAAAGGCCACCAAATGCTGCAAGCACTTGCCATTGGTCTGGTTGGGAATTGCACTGAACTAATTTTTTTCCACCAGGGAAAAATAATTTAGCAGCCTTCAATGTCAGGAAAGAAATTTCGCAACTGTTATGAGTGTATGATGAGCATTTTCTGGGTTATCCATGTCCTCTTATAAAACAAACATTTCACAGCTGTGTACACAAACTGGATATTCAGGGTTTGGAGTGGTGCTGGAACTGAACCTGGGCCTTGTGCATGCCAAGAGCTCATTCTACCGCTGAGCTGCAACCCTGGCTCTCACAAATTGGTTATTTATATGACATGTTAAATATTAAGTGGAAATAGTTGCATTTTGAAATAGTTGCATTTCACTATTTACTTGTTTCTCATCTACATGAAGACATTTAGTACAAGTCTGTATTCGGGTAAGCAAAGCAAATACACACGGCTATAAAAATATTGTATGATTAAGGTAGAAATATTCTAAACTGAATAAAAAATTAGGCCATTTAGTGATATGTCATCAGTAAAGAATATTATATGTATTTACATTCCTCCCTTCCTCAAATTTGACTTTAGGGCTCCATGGTGCAAGGACCATGCATTCTTCTTTTGTGCTATTCTGCACATACCTTTTGCTTGCTTTGTTGTTTTTTTTTTTCAGTCATAAAATCCTCATGGCCCAGTTTCATAAGTGCTGGAATTACAGACAGATGCCACTATTCTCAGATCAAAAGGAGGTTTCTTTTCTTTGGTGCTATGGATTGAATTTATACCCTCATCTTTTTGAGCTAGGCACTTGTTACGCTATGCCACTAGTCCAGCTTTGTATATATGTGTATATTCTGGCATCCACTTCTGGGCTTTCTTTATTTTATTTTGGTAGTTAGTTGGAGATAGGAGCCTCATGGACTTTTCCTGCCTGGGCTATCTTAGAATCTTGATCTTTAGATCTCAGCCTCCAGCGTAGCTACGATTACAGGTGTGAAGCAACAGCACACAGCCTTTTTAAAGAATCTTTTTCAGTGCTGGGTATCAAACAGACCTGAAAAATGCTAGATACGCATTCTATCATTGGTTACATCCCCAGCTATTGTGCACGTTCTTTACAATGATGGTGAGCACACAGGAGGTAATAAAATCTAACATCATACAGCGCGCGCGCACACACACACACACACACACACACACACACACACACACACACACACACACAAACCTCAAGTCTGTTATTAGATATGTGACTTTGAACAAATTACTTATCTTTATTGGGCCTTAAGTTTCTTCATCTATAAATTTAGAAAACCATCTCCTCCTTCAGAACATATTTGTAAAATTTAAATGACACTGAGCACATGTACCTACAGAAATGACTATACATATGGGCTGGGAAGGTGGCTCAGTGGTAGAGCACTTGCCTTGCATGCATGAGGCCCTGGGTTTGATTCCTCAGCACCACATAAGCAAAAAGAAAAAAGCCGGAAGTGGCACTGTGGCTCAAGTGGTAGAGTGCTAGCCTTGAGCTGAAGAGCTGAGGGACAGCGCCCAGGCCCAGAGTTCAGGCCCCATGAATGGACCCCCCCCCCCCCCCACCAAAAAAAGAAATTACTATACATAGTAGGCACTTAATAAGAACTAATGATAATTACCTCAAATCATTACTGTGATGATGCCGCTTATACAAAAATATACCAGTTGGAATCTGCACATAAAACCAACAGAGGGAACCTCTAACCTATTTCTCTGGCTTTAGGGTCAAGGTATAGATTTTTGTCAGCTATCTCTGAATCAAGTGTAGCAAGATAGGAGTGTAACAGTGGTGGAACACTTGCCTAGTAAGCTTCAGGCGCTGGGCCTAATCCCTAGTACTGCTAAAACAAAACCAAAAAAGTGATCTGATGATATCCCTAGATGGCAAGCAGGGACGTGGATTTGGGAGAAGTACATAAGAATCTTCAGTGGTATTGGTAATGTTGCCCTCTATATGTAAATCTGGACGTTTTGCTATATTATGTTTTTTTTTTTTTGTCGGTCATGGGGCTTGAACTTAGGACCAGGGCACTGTCCCTGAGCTCTTTCTATCAAGGCTAGTACTCTACCCTTTGAGCCATAGGGCCACTTCCAGTTTCCTGGTGATTAATTGGAGATAAGAGTCTCATGGACCTTCCTGCCTGGGCTGGCTTTGAACCTCATCCTCAGATCTTAGCCTCCTGAGTAGCTAGGATTACAGGCGCTCTGCTTGTTCTATTATGTTTTAAAACCTGTATGTATGTGTCAATTACAGCATAACATTAAGCAATTGCAATTCACAAGCACCCATGTCCCTCTCTGCTCTCACTTTAGAGCTCAAGACAGAATTCCCTGTGCTTTTATCCTTGTTCACACCTCCTAGTCATTTCCTGAATTAGACTGCAAGCTTAAAGGTAAGGTCCTGTGTGTCCATGTCTATCTATATAGTTCCAGCAACAGTTAGCAAAGCAAGAGCTCAGTAAAAGGTTCTGAAAATAAATTCCTATATTTGGCAAAAAAAAAAAAAAAAAATCATCTAATCAAATATGAACTGTTTTTGTGGTAGGTTTAAAATTGTTCCTAATTCAAGAACTCACAGATATTTTTTTTTTTAAATTTAAGTTCATATACCTGTCATTCCTAACTATGTGCCATTGTCCGTTTCTTATTTCCCACTCCTGGAATATCTTTCCCATCTTTGCTATCTTATCAAATATTAGTTATTCTTCGAAAATCCAGTTCGATGATGGCTGTTATAGGGAATTTTTCTAGCTGTGTGAACCTATGTCCAATGCTTAACTCACCTATAAGTATCTAAGCACTTTAAATTGGTAATATTCACTTTGACAGATCATATCCTATACTTTATTATTTGCTAAAATATTTAATATTTTCTTTTTCCTGATATAAATATTTTCTTTTCTTTCTTTCTTTTTTTTTTTGTTGGTTGTGGGCCTGAACTCTGGGCCTGGGCACTGTCCCTCAGCTCTTCAGCTCAAGGTTAGCCCTCTACCACTTGAGCCACAGCGCCACTTCCGGCTTTTTCTGCTTATGTGGTGCTGAAGAATCGAACGCAGGGCCTCATGCATGCAAGGCAAGCACTCTACCACTAAGCCACCTTCCCAGCCCGATATAAATATTTTCTAAGATCAAGCATAATTAAGGCATACACTGTGTTCCATATATCTTTTATGTAACACTAGAATACAATACAGTAGTGACACATGCTTGTTTAGATGAGCAGAAATGTATACATAAAGGAGTACTGTTACTATCTGACCAGCCTGTCTTTGTAATGTGGAACAATACAGGAGTTAAGGAGGAGATCCTCAAATTAAATAGGGAAGGCTTTCTTTTAAGATAAGAAAAGAAGTCCTTTCCATTCAGAAACCTGAAACAATGCTTTTTGTGTAGGGATAGAGCAAATGACTGGTTAAAAAAAATACTGTAAAGATTAACAAAGGATAAAAATTCTTTTTAAAAAGATATTTAGGAAAAAGACTGACCTTAGGAAAGTTCAGTTGGACAATGAGACAAGAATGAAAAAAATTTTGTGACTGTTTATATAACTGTATATGTAAATGTTTACATGGAGAATTAAACTTCAAGTTAATTTTAGACTCTAAAAACTAAGTCAAAGTGGTGCTGTAGCTCAAGTGGTAGAGCGCTCGCCTTGAGCTGAAGAGCTGAGGGACAGCGCCCAGGCCCAGAGTTCAAGCCCCATGACCGACAAAAAAAAAAAAAAAAAAAACTAAGTCAATCACTCAGGGATTTTACTGCATCTTAAACTGAAGGAAAAATAATGAGAATGATAATGAGACATACAATGGGTCTACGGAGGGTCTTTTGCACAGAGGGCAGTCAAACACGAAACAAAAGCCAACTAAGCGCCACAATTCTAAAGTCCCCAGATAGGTCTAAAAGCCATAACTACTGGTGACTTATCAGTGTAACTAACAGAAATATATTTCTTACCTTTGTCTTCTCCCTGCTCTCCAATGACCCATATATCCTTGCCTGAAGACTGTGCCTTTAAAACATTTGTAATAATGTATTGTAATCTCTGTGAATCCAGATTGCATCCAGTTCCAATCACTTGATTTGCAGGAAATGCACTCAGTTTCCATGTCACATAGGTCATGATTTCCACTAAATGTTACAGACAAGGTAAAAACATAAAGGTTTACAAAATTGTACTTCCAATCTAGCTCATAACTGCTATTATAATAAGTATATTAGAGCTTCTTTACATTCTTCTTACAACCTAAATGCATTGAGGCGTTACACACACACACTCACATATACTCCCAGCCTGGCCTCAAATCATAATCCTCATAAACGCTGTAAAATGTTAATGCATCCTGGCATTCTACAATATTTAGAATAATGCTTCAAGATTTAACAAAAGGTTCTCATATAAGTCACTGCATTTTTTAACCATTTTCTCACCAAGGAAGATCTTGCTAACAATTGCAACATAATACCATACTTCATAAAAACTTGTAAGTTGCAATATGGTTAATGATGGTCATAGAAATTTTACCAAATATCCATTCTTTCTTTTTCTTTTGGTGTTGGTCCTGGGTCTTGAACTCAAGGCCTGGGCATTGTGCCTGAGCTTTTATGCTCAAGACTAGTGCTTTATCACTGGAGCCACAGCTCTACTTCCAGGTTTTTGGAGATTAATTGGCGATAAGAGTCTCATGGATTTTCCTTCCTGGGCTGAGACCCTCAGATCTCAGCTTCCTGAATAGCTAGGATTACAGTGAGCCACCAGCACTTGGCCTATCCATCCTTTTATAATCTAAAGTTTTATGCTTTTTTGTTTTGCTTTGTTTTAGGTAATAGCAATTCTACTACTGATAGCAGACTAAACCCTCCTATTAACCATATATGGATAGTGGACTAAACCATGATATTAATTTAAAATACAACCTTTTAGCCAAAGACATAAAGTGGAATAAATAAAGCCTCTTCAAGTACTGGTGCTAGGAAAACTGGGCAGCCACATGCAGAAAACTAAAAGTGGATACCAGCCTATCACAATGCACTAACATCAATTCAAAATGAATTAAAGAGCTCAACATCAAACCTGAAACTCTGAAACTACTGCAGGACAGAGTAGAAGAGACACTAGAATTTATTGGCACAGGCAGGAACTTCCTAAACAGAGGCCCAGGGTCACAACAAATTGGAGGGAGACTCAACAAATGGGACTACCTTAAAATAAAAGTTTCTGCACAGCTAAAGACATAGCTATAGAAAGACAGCCAATCAATAGGGAAAAGTTATTTACCAGCAATATATCAGACAAAGGCCAAACACCCATTATATACAGGGAACTCAAGACACTAATCCCTCTCAAATCTAACAAACAAATCATTAAATGGGCAAGGGAGAGACTAAAGAGTGACTTCTCAGAAGAGGACATAAAAATGGCAAAGACACACATGAGGAAATGTTCATCATCCCTGGCTGTAAAGGAAATGCAAATAAAAACAACCCTGAGATACTACCTTACCCTAATGAAAATGGTCTATATCCTAAATTCAAACAATGACAAATGCTGGCAAGGATGTGAAAAAAGAGGAACCCTACTGTACTGCTGATGGGAATATAAACTAATACAACCACTCTGGAAAGGAGTCTGGAGGTTCCTCAGGAAACTAAACATAGACCTTCCATATGTCATAGCCCTACCACTCTTAGGCATCTACCCTGAGCAACAAGAACCAGGATAAAAAGACACATGCACCTCCATGTTCATGGCTGCACTGTTCACAATAGCCAAGATATGGAAACAACCTACCCAGATGTCCCACTACAGATGAATGGATCCATAAATTGTGGTACCTATGGAATATTATGCAGCCATTAGAAAGAACAAAATAATAGCATTTGCAGGGAAATGGATGTAACTAGAACAAATCATGTTGAGCAAAATAAGCCAAGATCAGAGAGACAAACAGCACATGGTCTCCCTGATATACAAAGTTAAATTCAAAATGCAAAGAGATATGAAGTAAACAGGATTCAAGAAACGAAGGACCTCTTAATTTGTCATATTGTTTTTAGATGACTCTATGTTCTTGACCCCACATATGGTATATACATGTGCACATCTGAGGGAAGCTAGGAGGAGGGCACAGAATCAGACAGAAACAGGTGATAAAATACAGCAGAGGGGTCCATCAGCTGCATTGGACATTGATGAAAGTGAACCAAGAAACTTAAGGGCAGCGATGGGAGGGAGGGAATGAGAGAGAAAGAGGAAACAGCTTACACTAAGCAAAAGGAAAGAAATGTACATAGCACCCTATTTGGAAGAAATAGTTGTATTGTCAAAGTTTGTAGCGTTCACAGGCTTTACAGACCATGATAATGATAATTTGCCTTGTGAAGGTTAAAATGCGTTTGTGACTTTAGCTAAATATTACTATCCCACAATATTGTGAAGTTTATGCAAACAATATCAATAAAGATATTAAAAAAATAAAGTCTTTTACCTGGTTGAGATGCAACAAGCAGGACACCATTCTGACTATAATGTCCAAGAGTTGGGACCAGGGTTCTGAACATATCCACATTGCTCTGCACCACATCAAGGTAGGACTCAGAATTACCCAGAGAATTGACAGTGAAGATTACCACCTTGGAATGAGCAGAGGCAGACAAATCTAATGAATGAAAAGAAATAGTTGGAACTCAAAATGTAAGATTTAATCTAGTTCTAGTTTATAATGACAAGTTTTTTCCCCCTTTTTCTAGTTTTTAGACATACTTGCACCTAGATCAATTATACAAAATGCTGAAGGTTAAAAGCAAAAGTGGACTCTACCCAGAGCCAGTTGAACTACACAGCAAAAACAAACTAAAAAACAACCCCCCCCAAAAACAACAAAAATTTATCCCAAGGGGAATAAGACAGTAATAAAGAATCTCGACTGTACATCCAAGTTCTATTTCCTATGTAATACACAATTTTTTTTGTCTTTCTTTTTGTCAGACGTGGGAGCTGAACTATGGGCCTGGGTGCTGTCTCTCAGTTCTTTAGCTCAAGGCTAGCACTCTACCACTTGAGCCACAGCACCACTTCCAGCTTTTTTCTGCTTACATGGTGCTCAGGCATCAATCCAGGGCCTAGTGCATGCGAGGCAAGTACTCTACTACTGAGCCAACTTCCCAGCTCCTAATACACATATTTTAAGGAAAAATAACAGGCACGAGCAAAATTAACCTACAATCAATTACATCACCACCGTGATTTTAGTGGTCCTAAAATTCCAAGGAGAGAGAGGAGAGAAGGGAAAAAAAGAGAGGAGAGGAAGGGAAAGAGGAAGGGAGGAAGGCAGTAAGGAAAGAGGGAAAGACAGAGACAGACAGATTTTGAAAATCTCTAAATTAAAATGAAGTTTTGGGGCTGGGAATGTGGCTTTGTGGTACAGAGCTTGCTTAGCATGCACGAAGCCCCAGGTTCAATTCCTCAGTACCACATAAACAGAAAAAGCCAGAAGTGGTGGCTGTGGTTTAAGTGGCAGAGTGCTAGCCTTGAGCAAAAGAAGCTGAGGAACAGTGCCCAGAGCAAAAGTAGCTCAGGGAGGCTGGGAATGTGGTTTAGCTGTAGAGTGCTTGCCTAGCATGCATGAAACCCTGGGCTCCATTTCTTAGCACCACATAAACAGAAAAAGCCAAATGTAGTGCTGTGGCTCAAGTGGTAGAGTGCTAGCCTTGTGCAAAAAGAAGCTCAGACAGTGCTCGTGCCTTGAGTTCTAGCTCCAAGACTGCCAAAAATAAAATGAAATTACTTGACTAGAGTTTTTGTTTTTTGTTTTTTTTTTTGACACAGTATCTTGCTATGTAGCCCAGACTGGTCTCAAACTTGTGATCCTTCTGTCTTGACCCTTTTTTTTTTTTTTTGGGTCCGGTCGTGGGGCCTGAACTTTGGGCCTGGGCGCTGTCCCTCAGCTCTTCAGCTCAAGGCTAGCGCTCTACCACTTGAGCCATAGTGCCACTTCCGGCTTTTTTCTTTTTGCTTATGTGGTGCTGGGGAATCAAACCCAGGGCCTCAGGCATGCAAGGCAAGCGCTCTACCACTGAGCCACCTTCCCAGCTCTGTCTTGACCCATTTTTAACTGACATTTTCTTATACTAGGTATAAGAAACTTGGGCCAGATGTTGCTAGCTCATGCCTGGAATCCTAGCTACTCAGGAGACTGAGATCTGAGGATCATGGTTCAAAGCCAGCCCGAGGAAAGTCCATGAGACTCTTTTTTTTTGGGGGGGGGGGTCCGGTTGTGGGGCCTGAACTCTGGGCCTGGACACTGTCCCCTAGCTCTTCAGCTCAAGGCTAGCGCTCTACCACTTGAGCCACAGTGCCACTTCCAGCTTTTTTTCTTTTTGTTTATATGGTGCTGAGGAATCGAACCCAAGGCCTCAGGCTTGCAAGGCAAGCGCTCTACCACTGAGCCACCTTCCCAGCCCCAAGTCCATGAGACTCTTATCTCCAATTAACCACCAGAAAACTGGAAGTGGCACTGTGACTCCAATTACCCACCAGAAAACTGGAAGTGGCACTGTGGTAGAGTGTTCGCCTTGAGCTGAAGAGCTCAGGGACAGTGCCTAGGGCCTAAGTTCAAGCCCCACGACCCACAACAACAACAACAAAAAAAGAAACATGGGATTTTCATGGGCTGGGAAGGTGGCTTAGTGGTAGAGTGCTTGCCTAGCATGCATGGAGCCCTGGGTTCGATTCCTCAGTACCACATAAATAGAATGCCAGAAGTGGCTCTATGGTTCAAGTGGTAAAGTGCTAGCTTTGAGCAAAAGAAGCTGAGGGACAGTGCCCAGGCCTTGAATTCAAGCCCAGGACTGGCAAAAAACAAAAACAATAGGACTTTCAGGTAAGCAACTATTATGATTTGTCTCGTCCACAAGAACTGGTAGACTATTTTTCAACTACATTATTACTACTCTATCATGTATTTTATAGTAATTACATGAAAGTAAATATCAAAACTGTGGCCAGATGTAATGCTATCAAGAGCAGAAACAAAGTAACTAGTATTAGTCTAGCCAATATTTATAAATGAATATTAGTTCACCATTGGAACAGTGAGTAGATTCTGAATTTTATGGCTTATATGAGCTGAGTCAAGCCTGGGCATTTGGTTTCAGATGCTATTAAACACTTGGTTGTATTTAGAACCTTAATTCTTCTACAGACTCATGAAGATGAGGAAAGCCGGAGAAGTAAGGTGACTTGCCCTATTATTAAAAATCAGGGAACAGCTCAATTTACAACTCTACATTTGACCTCAACCAGTCTTGCCAGATCACTTTTCTTTTCCTCCTTCATCTTCTACTTTGAATGATAGTTAAGAGTAAGAAGAGTAATGTTTAATGTTATTTCAAAAATACAAAAAAAAGCTTCCTACTCCAAACCTTTTTAATCTCTTTAGGTTTAGAAGCCAGCATTGCTTGATACATAAATCCTTGGCTCAAGCTGATTTGCTTTATATTCACTCCTCAAAATATTTCTCAGTTTCCTGATGTTGGCTTTCCTCAAATTCCATCTGCAATGTTTCCCATATACTTGCCACATGTTTGATAAATACCTACATCAAATATACTATGAGCTCTGACAGAGCAGGAGTTGTCTGACTTACTTTTCTATCTCTAAGAAATAGTTTCTTAGCATTTGGAACACCCTCACCTTTCTGCTAGTACTAACCTCTGCAGTCCTGCAAGACCAGGCACCTATCTTAGTCAACTTAAAAGTAATTCTCTTGGGGCTGGGAAGGTGGCTCAGTGGTAGAGAGCTTGCCTTGCATGCATGAGGCCCTGGGTTCGATTCCTGAGCACCACATAAGCAAAAAGGAAAAAGCCGGTAGTGGCGCTGTGACTCAAGTGGTAGAGCACTAGCCTTGAGCTGAAGAGCTGAGGGACAGCGCCCAGGCCCAGAGTTCAGGCCCCATGACTGGACCCAAAAAAAAAAAAAGTAATTCTCTTTCCATTCAACGTAAGGGTCCTCACTGACTGGACAATCCTTTGGGCAATTATTTTACTCTCTTATTACCAATCACTGTTTATGTTTTGCTTGTGTCTTCATACCAATTTGTATGTGTGTGACCTTGAATTCAGGTGTTCTCTTTGAACTGTTTTGCTCAAGGCTAGCACTCTACCACTTGAACCACAGCATCACTTCTGGTGTTTCTGGTAGTTAATTGGAGACAAGTCTTAGGGACTTTCTTGCTTGAGTTGGCTTCAAACTGTAATCCTCAGATCTCAGCCTCCTGAGTAGTTAGGATTACAGGCATGAGTCACTAGCACCCCGCTTTCACCTCTGTAGTTTTAGCTACTTGTGACATATAAAGCCAGTCTTTCATTTGAAACAATTTTTACATGCTAGGTTGGGCGTTTATTATAAAAACAGTGCTGCTCTTCCACTTGCACCACAGGCCCAACAGACACCTGTATCTACAGAACTCAAAACTCCCTTCTCTCATTTTCATATGTGCCCAGAAAACTCTACTTCTTTCCTGCTAAGTCTCTGGTTCCCAAGGTCTAGGCCCTGAGCTAGTGAGAATCATAATTATATGAGATTCTCAAAACAGTATCAAGTATGTTAATTTGCTCAATAAAGAATATTTCCTCTCAGATTATGAGGATGATGTGGTGATGAATGAAGCATGCCTTGACTCTAAAAGATTTCCCATTTATTTTATTCAAAACTATGAAGAAGGGCTAGGAATATGGCCTAGTGGTGGAATGAGTGCTTACCTAGTATGCATGGAGCCCTGAGTTTGATTCTTCAATACCACATATACAGAAAAAGCCAGAATTGGGCTGGGAAAGTGGCTCAGTGGTAGAGCACTTGCCTTGCATGCATGAGGCCCTGGGTTCGATTCCTCAGCACCACATAAGCAAAAAGGAAAAAGCCGGAAGTGGCGCTGTGGCTCAAGTGGTAGAGCACTAGCCTTGAGCTGAAGAGCTGAGGGACAGCGCCCAGGCCCACAGTTCAGGCCCCACGACCGGACCCAAAAAAAAAAAAAAAAAAGAAAAAGCCAGAATTGCTGCTGTGGCTCAAGTGGTAGAATGCTAGACTTGAGCAAAAAGCTCAGGGACAGTGCCCAGGCTCTGAGTTCAAGCCCCAAGACTGTCAAAACAAAACAAAACAAAAAACAAAGAAAACAAACAAACAAAAAAAAATGAGAAAGAACTAGGAAGATCTGAATCAAATAATGATTTTTAAATACTGGAGAGATCTGTTGGAATATTCCAGTTATTAGATCAGTCTAAATATTATTAAAAATAGCACAAGTGTTTTCATTCCCTGTGTTTTCATTCTCTAACTGTACTAAAAATGATCAAATAGACACTTTTCAAAAATATATGGGGAAGTACTAGGTTTGAACTCAGGATTTCACATTTATTTGGCTTCTTTGCTAGGCTTGGTCTCTCAACACTACCACTTGAGCTATACCTCTAGCCTGGACTTTTGCCAGGTACTTTGTAGATAGGGTCTCACAGACATTTGGGTCCAGCCTGGCCTTGAACCACAATTCTCCAGGTCTCACCTTCCTAAGTAGCTAGGAATTGGGGCATGAACCAATGCTGCCTGGCTTTAAATTCTTTTTTTTTTTAAATTTTTTTTTTTGGGTCCGGTCGTGGGGCCTGAACTCTGGGCCTGGGCGCTGTCACTCAGCTCTTCAGCTCAAGGCTAGCGCTCTACCACTTGAGCCACAGCGCCACTTCTGGCTTTTTTCTTTTTGCTTATGTGGTGCTGAGGAATCGAACCCAGGGCCTCGAGCATGCAAGGCAAGCACTCTACCACTGAGCCACCTTCCCAGCCCTAAATTCTTTTTTTTTGTGGAGGGGGTCTGGAACTCTGGGCCTGGGCGCTGTCCCTCAGCTCTTCAGCTCAAGGCTAGTGCTCTACCACTTGAGCCACAGTGCCACTTCCAGCTTTTTTTCTTTTTGCTTATATGGTGCTGAGGAATCGAACCCAGGGCCTCAGGCATGCAAGGCAAACACTCTACCACTGAGCCACCTTCCCAGCCCCTTTAAATTCTTTTTAACATAACCTAAAATATTTGAAATGTGTGTTTTCTTTTTTTTTTTTTTTTTTTGGGTCCGGTTGTGGGGCCTGAACTCTGGGCTTGGGCGCTGTCCCTCAGCTCTTCAGCTCAAGGCTAGCGCTCTACCACTTGAGCCACAGTGCCACTTCTGGGATTTTTCTTTTTGCTTATGTGGTACTGAGGAATCGAACCCAGGGCCTCATGCATACAAGGCAAACGCTCTACCACTGAGCCACATTCCCAGCCCCGAAATGTGTGTTTTCTTATACAATGACCCTTAATCTAGAAAATTGTTAAGATGATAATTATTAAAAATTGAATGTTGGTAGGGTTGAAAAATTCCCAATAGCTTTCAGTATTTTATTTAATGAAAGAAGGGATGTATTTTCTTAGCAATGTTCTAGATTCAGTAAGTGCATAACCAGCTTAACTGTTTGTATATTTTATATCTGTCTGTATATGTGCATGATCATATGTAAATCCCTATTTTAAAAAATTTAAATAAGGGGGGAAGGATGGGAACGGAAACAAAGGAGGAGGATACAATGCTTGATAAGAAATGTACTCATGGGCTGGGAACGTGGCTCAGTGGTAGAGCGCTTGCCTTGCATGCATGAAGCCCTGGGTTCGACTCCTCAGTACCATATAAGCAAAAAGAAAAAAGCCGGAAGTGGCGCTGTGGCTCAAGTGGTAGAGCGCTAGCCTTGAGCTGAAGAGCTGAGGGATAGTGCCCAGGCCTAGATAGAGTTGAGGCCCCACGACCAACTCCCCCCCGCCCCCCCCAAAAAAGAATTATTTGGGCTGGGAAGGTGGCTCAGTGGTAGAGTGCTTGCCTTGCATGCACTGGGTTCGATTCCTCAGCACCACATAAGCAAAAAGGAAAAAAAAGCCAGAAGTGGCGCTGTGGCTCAAGTGGTAGAGCGCTAGCCTTGAGCTGAAGGGCTGAGGGACAGCGCCCAGGCCCAGAGTTCAGGCCCCACGACCGGACCCCAAAAAAAAAAAAATGTATTCATTATCTTGCCCATGTAATTGTAACCCCTCTGTAACAGTATTTTCACAATAAAAAAAAATTTTTTTTAAATTTAAATAAGCCGGGTGCCAGCGGCTCATGCCTATAATCCCAGCTACTTGGAAGGCTGAGATCTGAGGATTGCAGTTCAAAGCCAGCCCGAGCAGGAAAGTCCGTGAGAAATCTTTTCTACAGTAAACCACTCAGAAAACTGGAAGTGGTGCTGTGGCCAAGTAGTAGAGGGCTTGCTGTGGACTTGAGCTGAAGAGCTAAGGGACAACGCCCAGGTTGAGTTCAAGTCCCACTACCGACAAAAAAGAAAAAATTCTAAATAGAGCAAAATGCAACTCTAGGATGTTCAGTCAGTTGCAATCATTTACCACATAATAAGCTTCCAAAAAAGCTTAATTCCCTAAATTGTTAATGCACGTCTTTATGAGATATTAGCTACCAATACACTTAGAATTACTTACAAGAATACTCATCAGAAATTTACAACCCAAACTAATGAAAACATGAAATTTGCCTCAAGATCATGTATATTCATTCATTCAACATTCAATAGTTACTGTGGACCATACACTAGCCATTTAGTTCTACCTTTCAGTTATGCAATAATTTCAAGTTATTAATGGTTAATAACACATACAAACACAGGAAAAAGAAGAATAATTTGCTCTGGTCCTAAATGGCCTCACAACTTCTAGGGTCAATGTACTAAAGAATTTTCTAAAGTGATATGGAAGAGTTAAATGGTCCCTTGAGAACTTTAGGACCTACAAATGACAATCCCAAGAGCATATCCAGCTTCCCAAGGAATCCTTTATGTGAAGCCTACAAAGAGATCATTAAAGCAACTACAATATGCTTTCAAAGAAGGAAAACGAACTAATTGCCTCTTACCAAAAGTTTATTAAACTGTGGCACCCAACTTTTTTAACACACATGACATAAAGGTGGTTTTTAGCACTAAAAATCTAGGACTTGCTCCTTAGCACCAAGAATTAAAAAAGTAAAATTTAAAAACCTAGGACTCAACTGTAAGAACAGGTAAGCAGAACATTGTTAAGCAGAACATACAAACCTTTGCTGATCTCCACGTGGGGCAGGTTGAAGATGTCAAGGTCCATTGTCCCACCTTTAGTTCCTTCAGAAAGGTCTAAGAGGACCAACCTGTCTGCAATGCCCTGTATAGAACAATTGGAAAAATAACAGCATTACATTGGACATGACTAGTTACTCAATCTAAATTCATTAGGAAGTAAGGGCTAAAAGAGCCCTGGTAGGCCATCTAAAGAAGGAAGAGTAACAGAAATGCAATAAAAGCTACACACACTGTAAAAAATAAACTATGCAACTTGTGGGCAGAGATGAGAGGGGAAAAAAATGGGGAAAGAGGAAGGAGAGGGTGACATTGTCCAAGAAGCATTGTAACCATTACCTCGCTTATGGAATTGCAAACTCTTTGTGTAACTCCTTAATAATAACTTAAACATTAAAAAAGAAAAAACTTGAAAAATTAAAGTAATAAAATGATATAAAAGGAGACTCTTTGGGGCAGGAGCCAGTAGGCTTGAGGTAGGACAAAAGCAGAAAATGGGAAGGACAACAACAACAACAAAAAGCCAGAAGTGGCACTGTGGCTCAAGTGGTAGAGTGCTAGCCTTGAGCTGAAGAGGTGAGGGACAGCGCCCAGGCCCAGAGCTCAGGCCCCAGGACTGGCAACAACAAAAAAAGACAGAACATAAAAATTAGTTTTTTAAAGTGGTGGATAAGGCAAAAATAGTCTAAAACGTAATAAATAAATGAATAAAATAAGTACGATCCAAGCAAGACATTTTTAGGAACCTGAATAATATGATCCTTGACTATTGAAAACCAGAACCTCACAGGCTTTAGCTCAGAAGCCACAGACTGCTGGTTTCTTTGGATGGCAACAATGACCTTGTGTACTCAGTAAGATTACTATTGTTCCCAGCCCCGGGATCTATTTTTAACACCTCATTTCTAGCCTGAAAGTCAGGATTCTCTTTTTTTTTTTATAGTAATAGCCAAAAGTCTAAAGTCAAATTCTATTATCATGTAGAACTTTCCCCAAAAGTCTCATGGAAAATAGTCTACTCTCTGTGATTGGCTAGCAACCTGAGTGGCATGTGATCCATTTGTAAATGACAGCATGGAAATTCCTAATAATTTGTAGAAGGTTTTTCTTAAGTACCCATGGATCTTCTTTCTTAAGTACCATGGATAGAAATTATAATGGTGGGCTGGGAAGGTGGCTCAGTGGTAGAGCGCTTGCCTTGTATGCCTGAGGCCCTGGGTTCGATTCCTAAGCACCACATAAGCAAAAAGAAAAAAAAGCTGGAAGTGGCGCTGTGGCTCAAGTGGTAGAGCACTAGCCTTGAGCTGAAGAGCTGAGGGACAGCGCCCAGGCCCAGAGTTCAGGCCCCACGACCGGACCCCCTCCCCAAAAAAAAAAAAAAAAAAGAAATTATAATGGTTAGCATGGCTCCAATGGCTCACAACTGTAATCCTAAAGCCAGCCCAGGCAGGAAAATCTGTGAGAATCTTATCTCCAATTAATAACCAGAAAACTAGAAGTGGAGCTGTGTCTCAAGTGGTAGAGCACTTGCCTTGAGCTGAAGAGCTCAGGGACAGTGCTCAGGCCCAGAGTTCAAGCTCTATCACCGACAAAAATAAATAAAATAATTAAATAAAAATGGTGAAGGGAACACTTCATTCTAAATTGTAAGTCCTGCCTTTCTGAAGAGCAATCTCAAAATATATAATGAGGGCTATAAGACAATTCATGCACTCTAATTCACTATTTTTGAGTACCAGTACTGATACTATGAGTACTTTCTTCTTATCTTCTTTCAAACGATAATACACATGAAAAAAAATTCAGACAGTAATATTTGTAAAATTTTATTTAGTATTAAAAGGACTTAAGAAAACTCAAACTCCAATTAAGAGGTAATAGTGCCGGGCGCTGGTGGCTCACGCCTGTAATCCTAGCTACTCAGGAGGCTGAGATCTGAGGATCGCGGTTCAAAGCCAGCCCGGGCAGGAGAGACCGTGAGACTCCTATCTCCAATAAACCACCAGAAAACCGGAAGTGGCGCTGTAGCTCAAGTGGTAGAGCGCTCGCCTTGAGCTGAAGAGCTGAGGGACAGCGCCCAGGCCCAAAGTTCAAGCCCCACGGCCGACCAAAAAAAAAAAAAAAAAGAGGTAATAGTATATTCAGACTGTAGGTGAGGAACAATAAACCTAATATATGCCCCCAAATTAGCATATACCATCTGAGCAGTTAATGTTAATTTTTTTCTTGCTCCTAGGATATAGTTTAATTATTTGCTGAAGCAGAACTTACTTCCAAGATGCTCCTGAGTCTGAAATGGGAAGGGAAATATTTAGGTAGCCATCAATTGAATTTTAGTGGAAAAAGAAAAACCAGGGCCAGCCAACAAATAAATATATAGAGAGCAACAGCTGTTCTATTCTAGGCTCCCTCTGAAAGGATTCTGGGCCCTAGAGAGAGGTACAGGGCTGGAAGGGGATTTAAGTTTCTATATAAACAATTCATGTAGAAATGACAGAAAAAAAAGACAAAAAAAAATCATGAACTAATGTAAAGTACTGAATAAAAACTAAGAAAGTAATTATGTGAGAAGAGACAATCCATTTTCTAAAATGCTAATTTTAGAAAGAACTAAAATAAAGCATTATATTAAATAAGTTAATTAAAACATGATGACTCAGAAATCACAAAAGAATTTGTAACTAAGTTAGATGAATGTCAAGCTGAGGCTTCTTTTGGATTAGGATGAGGCACTGTTCAAATCACTTTTGCAACAGCCTATTCCATGATTTTTTTTGTCAACAATAAATATATTCTAGAGCACAATAAGATATGCGTCCATGAAAAAAATTAGGTTTTGATGTTAAACAAAGTGTTTAAAAGGGTAACTGTATTAACAACCCTTTACTTACATACCTTTGCTGAGATAGCTAATGTGCAGGCAATACCCAACTCTCCACCTCCAACCACGGTAATCTTATTGACTGTCTTCTCATTTGTCCAACTCTTTGAATTTATGTCTGAGACACCTACAGAAAAACAGATTATCCTCATTTAAAAATACCAAAGAAGTCGTCCTAGCATCTTAAAAAAAAAAATTCACACCAATAAATATCTGTTGAACAAATGTATGCATAGAAGTCTTAAATTAAGAATTCTACTAAACATAATAGTTTTCTTTTAAAAAAATTTTCCCATTTAAAAAATAAAACTAAAAATATGTAAAATTTTTGTAATTCTAAAAATATTATGATTTTTTCAGCTCTGTATTATAATACAAAGAAAGCTTAATACCATACTAAAATATTCTCAGTATGAATATTTATTTGGCTTGATTTTCAATAAGAAACACTGAGAATTATTCATCTTGTCCAGTGCACTAAGTTAGAAAGCTACATAAACATATAGTGAAAAACTATATATAATAGTTTTCGGTAACACAACTATTTTATCTAAGGGCAATTGTTTTCATTTTAAGAAACTAATGAAAAAAGATGATAATACCTTATGAAAGATGTATAGGAATTTTTATTAAATACAAAAATGTATGTATACATGTACGTATTTATTTATCTAGAAATTAAGAAGCAGAGGGTAGAGAACATCATTAGTGAGAAATTCTAAAGTCTTTTTTTTTTTAATTATGAAAATACAGTATAGAGGGATTACAATTACATGGGCAAGATAATGAGTACATTTCTTATCAAGCATTGCTAAAATCTTAACTCTTAAGGCAATCTGAAAAAATACAGACCTTCAGTGATTTTTGCAATATAGGCTAGCAAGTCCACCTGCCGTGCTTCATCAGATGATGATACAGAATACAGGGGCAGTTCTTCTTGAAACTTGGTGATCATTTCTTTAATTAATCCAACAATGACAGATTTAGGCTGTAGAATACACACCAAGGGAAAAGTTACACAAAAGTTCTGCTGAAGAATGCCACTTTCAGCCGGGTACTGTTGGCTCACACCTGTAATCCTAGCTACTCAGGAGGCTGAGATCTGAGCATCGAAGTTCAAAGCCCAGGCAGGAAAGTCCGTGAGACTCTTATCTCCAATAAACCACTCAGGAAACTGGAAGTGGCACTGTGGCTCAAGTGGTAGAGCACTGCCTTGAGCTGAAGAGCTGAGGGACAGTGCCCAGGCCCAGAGTTCAAGCTCCATGACTGACAAAAAAAAAAAAGAATGCCACTTTCTTACCTACATATCATTGACAAAGGGTAGTACAATTATTGTTGAGCAATAAAAGTGTTGGAGACCACAACCTGTGCACAGCTGAAAATCTGAGAATCTTTACACTTGATCTTAGCCAAAAGGCCGAGAAGCGATAAAATCTGAGAATCTTTTGAGTGTTTAATTTCTTGAGCTCTTTGTATATTCTGGATATTAGGCCAGGCATTCCCATTGTGTAGGCTGTCTTTTTAATCTTATTAGCTATGTTCATCCTTTGGTGTGCAGAAACTTTTTAGCCTGATGAAGTCAAGCTAAAAATTCTCTGATTTGCTGAGTGCCTGAAACTGTACAAGTTCCTACATATGCCAAGATATTCTAATGTTTCTCCTGTTCTTTCCTGTAGTAATTTCAAGGTTTCACGTCTTACAATGAGTTCTGCAATCCAACTGAATTGATATTAGTACAAGGAGAAAGATAGGATCTAATTTCGGTTTTCTATATAAGGATATCCAGTTTTTCCCCCAAACCATTTGTTAAAGAGGAATTTTTCCAACCTGCATCTATGGCTTGTTTGTCAAATATTAGATGGTTGTAGTGTGAGTTTTTTTCTGGATCTACTCTGTTCCATTGGTCTTTGTTTTTGAGATAGGATATTGCTAACTTTTGCCTTGGCTCCCTTCTGTGATTCTCCTGTCTGCCCAAGCTGGCTTCAAACTGTCATCTTCTGGATTTCAGTCTCTTTAGATACAAGCCTGAGCCACTAGCACATTTCCTTTAAGATTTTTTTTTTTTTTTTGGTCAGTTGTGGGGCCTGAACTCTGGGCCTGAGCACTGTCTCTCAGCTCTTCAGCTCAAAGTGAGTGCTCTACCATTTGAGCCACAGCACCACGTGGTTTCTCTGGTGGTTAATAGGAGGTAAGAGTCTCACAGACTTTCCCACCCGGGCTGGCTTAGAACTGTGATCCTCAGATCTCAGCCTCCTGAATAGCTAGGATTACAAGTGTAAGCCACCAGCAACCAGCCAATATCTGATCTATTTTAAGGACAATACCTCCTGTAAATTGGTGCCCTCTTACACTAACTGCTATTGATATCAGAAATATGTTTCATTTACATTTTTGGAAGCCAATTTGGTAATATATAAGAAAACTTAAAAAAAATGTACAAACCCTTGATCCAATAATTTCAGAACATACTAGGCAAGCTCTCTACCACTGAGCTACATTCTTACCCAGGAAATTATTAAAGATACTAAGATATATACCTTTATACATAATGATATTCATCATTAATAATAGGGAGATTTAGAGAGATAATTTGTAATATATTCATGCTAGATCATGAGGGAACCATGACAAACTATGTACTTTGAAAACATTTTAGCCAGCACTGGTGGCTCACACCTGTAATCCTAGCTACTCAGGAAGCTGAGATCTGAGGATCACAGTTCAAAGCCAGCTCAGGCAGGAAACTCCATGAGACTCTTATCTCCAATAAACCACTCAGGAAACCAGAAGTGGTGCTGTGGCTGAAGAGGTAGAGTGCTCACCTTGGGCTTAAGAACTGAGGGATAGCGTCCAGGCCCAGAGATCAAGCCCCACAACCGACCAAAAAAAAAAGAAAAGAAAAGAAAGCAAAACATTTTAACAAGAGAAATGCTCAACATAATATGAGGAATTGTAAAATAAGTAAGATACAATTATATACATAAATGAAAAAATTTTAAACTTCTTTGGCAAGAAGTATAACTCAGTGGGTAGAAGGGTTCAATCCCCTGAACTGCAAAACAAAAATCCAAGAAGCTGGGTATAGTAGCTTTTGAATGTAATCCCAGCTACTTGAGAGGGACAGATCAAGAGGAACATGGTTTCAAGGCCAGTCTGGAAAAGAAGCTGTCAAGATCCCCCAACAAAAGAATCTAGTTTTTAATTCCCTAATATCTTGTTACTAGCTTTTCATGTACTTTCTCAAGTGGCAAACAGCTATAAAAAGACTCAGAGGAAACAACAGCTGGCTCCCAGACCAGGAAACAGCAGCTTCACACAGGCTGTTGTCAGGGGTCCGGACTTGAAGTACCTTAGAGAGCTCAATTTCAAATTCAAATATCTTATGAAAGATCATACAGCATTATATTTATCTGTACTATAAGAATCAAAGACAAATTCTCAGAAGAATAAAACTTTTTAAAGAAACTCCAAGTTGGTCTTACATGGTTCCAGTTTTGGAGGTAGGGCAAGTATATTCTGCCTTGAGCATCCACATGTTTTCCAACTGAGATTCCCATATTTGCAGTTGGCTTCAAGAAACAAATGGGGGGAGCAAAAGGGTGAGAATCCAAAATCCAGAAACGAATTGGTATGTTATATGTATTACCTATTTGAGACAAAATAAACACATTTTCAAACAATAATGAAGCATGCACATTCTATTTATGTCACACCTACATGCCACTTCAAGGTATGAACTGCTAATTCAAAATAAAATGAAAAAGGGCTGGTTATATAGCTCAATGGTAGAGTACCTGATTAGCATGTGTGAGTTACTGAGTTCAATCCCCAATAGTGAGAAGGGAGAGAGAGAAGGAGGGAGGAAGGATAGTCAAGTTTATATGAAAAGGATTAATGTAAATCAAAGCTGATTTCTCCACTTCATCTGTCCACTTTCAGTATAACATAAAGAAGACAATAACCAGTTCATCAAATTTAATCCAATAAATATTTATAGGATCTACTATACCAAGAATTTGGGATATAACTCCATTGTCTTTGCCCATACCAAGCAGAGGTACTGTATCATCCTTGAAAAGTAGTGGACATATCTATTTTTTAATTTATATTATATTGAAATTATTTATTTACCAGCTTGCCTTCTTGCCTGCCTGCCTGCTTGCTTTTTTTCCTTCCCTCTCCCACTCCCTCCTTCCTTTCCTTCCCTTTTTTTTTTTTTGTGCCAGTCCTCAATCACAGGGCCCTGTCCCTGGGCTTTGGCTCAAGGCTAGCACTCTTACCACTCAAGCCCTGACTTCTGGCTATCTGGTGGTTAATTGAAGATAGAAGTCTTATAGACTGGGGGCTGGGAAGGTGGCTCAGTGGTAGAGTGCTTGCCTTGCATGCCTGAGGCCCTGGGTTCGATTCCTCAGCACCACATAAAGAAAAAAGCTGGAAGTGGCACTGTGGCTCAAGTGGTAGAGCACTAGCCTTGAGCTGAAGAGCTGAGGGACAGCGCCCAGGCCCAGAGTTCAGGCCCCACGACTGGACCCAAAAAAATGAAGTCTTATAGACTTTCTTGCCTTTAGGCTGGCTTTAAACCATAATCCTCAGATCTCAGACTCCTGAGTAGTTAGGATTACAGGTTTGAGACACTGACATCACTCAGCCTGCTTTCTTATTGTACCATAATTTGGCTCATTTCTTTTTGTTGTTGGTTGTGGGGCATGAACTCAGCCCTTGTCCCTGAGCCTCTTTGTGCTCAAGGCTAGCATTCTATTATTTTGAGCCTCAGCACCACTTCTGGTTTTTGAGTGGTTAATTGAAGATAAGAATCTCTTGAGGACTTTTCTGCCTGGGTTTGCTTCAAACTGCAATCTTTAGATATCAGCTTCCTGAGTAGCTAGGATTACAGGAATGAGCCACAGGTGTCAGATAATTTGGCTAATTTCTATAACCCCAGTAACAAGTTTAGTACCTAAGATGTCAATTACTTCACAGGTTTCTCAGTAGTCCTAGCACTTGGTAGGCAGTACTACAAGATCAAGGCTGGGCTGGACTAGTGAGGAAATTTGAGGCCAGCCTGTGTTATATACTGAGATCCTGTTTAAAATTTTTTTTTATTTATTTATTTAGTCAGGTATGGTGGTTCCAACCTATAATCCTACTGCTCAGAAGACAGAGGCAGGGGCTGGGAAGGTGGCTCAGTGGTAGAGCGCTTGCCTTGCATGCTCAAGGCCCTGGGTTCGATTCCTCAGCACCACATAAGCAAAAAGAAAAAAGCCGGAAGTGGCGCTGTGGCTCAAGTGGTAGAGTGCTAGCCTTGAGCTGAAGAGCTGAGGGACAGCGTCCAGGCCCAGAGTTCAGGCCCCACGACTGGACCCCCCAAAAAAAAGACAGAGGCAGGAGGATCATAACTTCAAGGCCAGTCTGAGCTACATGAAATCCTGTCTCAAAATCAACAAAAAGGCCAGGCACTGGTGGCTGACTCCTATAACACTAGCTACTCAGGAGGCTGAGATCTGTGGATCATGGTTTGAAGCTAGACCAGTGTGTGAAATGATTGTTTCTAATTAACTACCAAAAAGCCAGAAGTAGAGCAGTAGCTCAAGTAGTAGAGCTCTAGACTTGAACAAAAAATGCAGCTCAGGGACAGCATTCAGGTCCTGGTTCAAACCCCAGAACTGGCACCAAAAAAAAAAAAAGAAAGAAAGAAAAGAGAAGAGAAGAAAAAAGGGAAAAGATAATTTCTTAAATAATAATTAACAAATAAATGAAAACTATGAACCAACTAACCAAATAGGGTCTGATACTTACCCAGAAGTACATGGAACACATAGACACAGAGAATTTAAAGATATCAGACACAGATAAATATTAACATTTTAAAGATGAAAATAATCTTAACAGTCACCTTATCCCTGTAATTCTGAAACTTTAGTGTACGTTAGAAACTGAAAAACATTCAAATTCCTAGGACTTATCTTCAGACACTGAGTTTCTGTAGATATGGGTTAAAACCCCCCAAATCTGCATGTTAAACAACCTTACACAAATCCATATTATATACTCTAGGAAATTAGATACATATGGTCCATGCATCAGTTGAAAACACTTAGGAAACACTACCTTTTGGAAATATTCTAGTAGTATTCACAGAAAAAGAAGCAAGCTCTGCAAATGATAAACACATGGTAAAGAAATGACTGCATCTGGGAGAACAACTCAGTGATAAGAGGATTACCTACATATGTGAGACCTTGGGTACAATCCCAATCCTGCAGTAGATTTAACTACTAAAGGATAGCACAAGGTAAGAATTTGAGCACAGGCTGTTGCAGTTTTAATCATGTAGGTCATGCCTACCCAAGAGCAAAAATGTCTACTCTGGTTACTAGAAAGCCTAAAGCTGATCTATTGTATCTCTTAATATTTATTCCTATCTCCTAGTATTATTGAATACTGTATATTCATGTACTTAATAATGTAATTAATTATTCCATGTACTTAAGAACATGCTGCTTAAGACAAGAATGTCTAGTCCCATACATTATTAGCTATATGACTTCTGGCAAGTTATGTAACTTCTCTGTTCCTCAAGTTCTCTCTATACAAAATGAGGATTATAATAGTTCCTACGTCACAGAATTCTTGCCATGAAATCAGTTCATATAAAATAAATCAGTTCATATAAGGCATTTGCCATAGCACATGGTATGGTAAATAATAATGTGGGCTAATCTACAGATAAAATGCATAAAAATGAAAAACAGCTGAATCCTGGGCATAAAAAAAAAGTAAAGTGAACAGAGTCAGGAGCTAAGAACAAGCTCTATACTAATCTGAAGCCTCTCACTTCCCAATAAGACTATAGTAGCTAACCATGTGTTTAACCTGGATGAGAACACTCTGGGTAATATCTCAAAGACATCAAGCAAAACTCGAAAGTCATCCTTGGATTAACAAAAAATAAATTATCTCCCAAGTTTAAGAAAAGGAATAATGTTTTCTTTCTTCAATACAGTTGTGTGTGCCTGCATGTGAATGTGCATGTACACACACACACACACACACACACCACTCCTGGGGCTGAACTCAGAACCTGGACACTGTCACTGTTACTGGGCTTTTTTGCTCAAGGTTATCACTCTACCACTTCAGTCACAGCTATTCTGGAGGTAGAGATTGGGAGGTTTCAGTTTGAGGCTAGTCTGAGCAAAACTGCAAAATGTTAGCAAGATGCAACAAAGAAGTCAGGAATGGTGGTGACTTATAATCCAGTGTTCCTATAATCCCAGCTACAAAGGAGATGACTTAAGAAAGTTGTAGTCTAAAAATGGCCCAGGCAAAAATTGGGAAATTCTATCTAAAAAAATGATTAATAAAGCAACAAGGGATGAAAACATGGCTTAAGTGGTAGAGAGTTCAAGCCCCAGTAGCCCTCCAAGAAAACCAAATAGTTTCTCTCACCTTGTCCCAGATGAGAGATGTAGCCAGAACTTACAAATGTCTGGGCACAGTAAGTCTTTTGATCAAGAGTACCAATGAAAGTTATAAGAGCCTGGAATCAGTAGCTCACACCTATAATCCTAGCTACCCAGGAAGCTGAGATCTGAAGCCAGGCTGGGTAGAAAGGTCAATGAGACTCATCTCCAATCAACACCCCCAAACCGGAAGTGAAGCTGTGGCTCACAGTGGTAGAGTACAAGCCTTAAGCAAAAGAACTCAGGGACAGCACCCAAGCATGACCAAAAAAAAAAGTTACAAGAAACAGGAAACCATGTCACAAGACTCTTTAATTAGTAATATCCACCTTCCATGCAATGCTTCTGCTTAGGTGATAATGTCAAAACTTTCAAACAGAAAAATGACTTGAATAGTACTGGTACCAAGCATAAAGAACATGTTTATCTCCAGGAAAGTTGACGTTCAATTCTCTTAAACCACTTTAACTAATATACAGAGCCCAAGGGAGTTAGGCACCAGTGTCTCCTGCCTGTGATTCTTAGAAGGCTAAGGGCCTGAGGATCATGGTTTGAGGCTTGCCCAGGCAGAAAAGTTCATGAGACCCTATCTCAAAAAGAAAGAGCAGAGAAACAGGGCTGAAAGTATGACTGACATGCAGACTGCAAGCCTATCAAGCTCTAAACTGAGTTCAAACCCCAGACTGGCTTCTGCAAAAATAAAAAGGCTCTGAGGAAGAGCCTTAAGTACACCAAGCTCTTGGCATGCACTTTTCCCTCTATTGCTTGCTTATTCTACATTGTTAACTAATATAGTCTTTGCTCCCTCTTACTTTGTGAATTGCTTTGAAATTCTTTCCAACAAATGGAATTCAAGGATCAGTCCAATTGGGAGGGGCATAGAATAAGGAGTTAAGAATCTGATGAAGAACCTTCTCCACCTTTTGTTCTCATGATAATATGAACTGTACTTTTTACCTCCAATCTGTTTTAGAAAGAGGCCAGATATAAACAATAATAGTTCTTTTTTACCATAATATTTTTCTCACTTTTGATATCCTTCCACTGAAAACTTCTTTTCCATCTTGCTTCCTTCCATACTGAGCTTACAGCATAATGATGCTTAGCATGTTTGCACATTAAAAACACTTAAAGAACTCAAGAGGTTTTGGCCATATCCCCAATGCTTCTGATTCAATAAGTAACATTTTCCCCTTCCCCCACTTTTTATCATTGAGCTACAATGTCAGCCCCGAAAACACTCCCCACCCATCCCCCACCCCTGAGGGTTCTGGGCCTTGAACTCTGGGCCTGAGCACTATCCCACTTTGTGCTCAACTCTAGCACTCTACCACTTGAGCCACAGCGCCACTTCCAGCTTTTTCTGATTAGTTTATTGGAGATAAGAGCCTCACAGATTTTCCTGCCTGGGTTGTCTTTGAACAGTGATCCTCAGATTAGCCTCCTGAGTACCTAGGATTATAGGTATGAGCCACTGGTGCCTGGTTCCAGTGAAAGGTTAAAGTTTGAGGCAGTGACCACTTGTTGCTTGTTTCTGTCTAGCAAAGCAACACGTGGTGGTAATCCAAACACCTTGTTGATTGTGTGCCTTTATAAGACCTGCAAATCCTTAGCTGAGGGCTCTCCTCCTAGGCTCTGCTGTGTCGGAGTGTAGGACGAGGCCCGAGCTGCAGCCCATTTAAATAAAACAGCTGTAGAGTCTGACTCTCGGTGGTCTTCTTGCAGGGGTCCTGCGACCTTGGCATAACACCAGAAATAATTTTTAAAGAGTTTCCTATGTAATACTAATGTGCAACCAGCACTTGAAAAATCAACATATAGAAATGTCTCTAATACCTAGGAGTCCCTGATTTGACCTCTGTCAGAACCAGACTCATTTTGCTTTTATTAACTTAAAGACTGGAAGTAGAGCTATGGCTCATATGGTAGAGCACTAACCTGGAACAAAAAGAGCTCAGGGACAATGCCAAGGCCTACAGTTCAAGCCTTAGGACTGGTATACATATACATACACACACACACATGCGCACACACACACACACACACACACACACACACACACACACACACCCCCTCTACTACAAATCTGGACACACACACACACACACACACACACACACACACACACACACACACACACACACACACACACACACACACACACACACACACACACACACACACACACACACACACACACACACACACACACACACACCTCTACTACAAATCTGGACACTGTGGTACATGCCTCTACTCCTAATAACACCAGAGGACTGAGTCAGAAGAATCATTTGAGTTCGTGATATTGAGCAACATAAAAGACTTTGCCTCAAAATAATAATTTTTTAAAATGTTGGTTAAAGAAATAAAAGAACCCACATCTTCCACAAATGTTTCTTTAGCAGCATTTACATACTTTAATAGCCCATCCTGGCAAGGTACTGATGACCCAGATTCCCATAAATGGTAACATTTTACTACTGATTTTTTCTAGGTCTTTCCTGTCAACAAATGTCCTGCCTCAAACCCTGCCTGATTAGATTTTAGTAATTCATTACCAAAGGATCAGAACTACTGGTAAAGCCTTCAGATTTAAATTCATTCTATAATAAGATTATAATTTTAGTCAGATGAATGATTAATAAAGTTTAGGTGGGTATAATTTTATTATGATGGCAATATCTTTAAAGAATGAGCATAAGAAGAAAAAAATACCATCATGACCTTAACACAATTTTAACTTATTTACAATATGTCTTTGAGAGCTGTAATCCTACCTACTCAGGAGGCTGAGATCTAAGAATCATGGTTAGGATAGGAAATGATCTTATAATGACTCAAGCCTATAATCCTAGGACTTGGGAGGTGGAGACTGGGGATCCCCTTTCTAGGACATCTGGCCGAAAAAAAGTTTGCAAGACTTCATCTCAAATAGTGGCAGGTAAGCCGGGCACTGGTGGCTCACGCCTGTAATCCTAGCTACTCAGGAGGCTGAGATCTTAGGATCGCGGTTCAAAGCCAGCCTGGGCAGGAGAGACTGTGAGACTCCTATCTCCAATAAAACCACCAGAAAACCGGAAGTGGCGCTGTAGCTCAAGTGGTAGAGTACTCGCCTTGAGCTGAAGAGCTGAGGGACAGCGCTCAGGCCCAGAGTTCAAGCCCAAGACCGACCAAAAAAAAAATAGTGGCAGGTGTATCAGGGAAACACAATGGCTGGCTGCAGTGGCACATACCGGCATAAGTAAGAGGATAATAGCCCAGGCAAGCCTGTTCATAAAGTGAGATTCTTCCTTGAAAATAAGCAATGCAAAAAGGGGCTGGAGAGAGGGACAACAAAAGGAGTGACTCAGTCCCTCCAGTAGAAAAGGAATATTGCCACATCATATAGTGAGAGGCAGGGGAGAGAGCAGAATGAAAACAGTTGTAATGGAGGAAAGTATGCGCACTGGTATGGTAAGCATGCTCTCCTTTATATCCTATATCCCAGAACCTATCATAGTAGTAGTGGGCACATAGTGTGTGTGTGTGTAAATACTTTGAGACTGTTATGGCATAAAAAATATGAATTCTTACTAAATAAACTGCTCTTTGAGAACATCCACAATTTTCTCAACATCCACACTTACCTTGATACATCACAGGAATAGTGCCAGTAAAATTCAGTAGGTCTTTCTGAGAACTATCTTTAAAAACTAGAAAGAAAAAAACAATACCAAAATGTCAATCTTAAATAGATTGGATGAGTGGATGAGTGCATGCATGCATGTACATACACATACATACAAACATATATATATATATATATACATATACATATACAAATATATATATATATATATGTACCTCACAATCTCTAAATATCAGGATCAATATAAAGGTCAGCAAGAGGAAATCACTAGAGAGCACTTACTTAGAAAACAAAATAGTGGAAAGTACAGAGAATTTTGACACTGAAGTTCTAAGTCATCTTCTCTTAAAAGGAATGTGACTTGCAATTAATCTATTTCATCTTCAGTTTCATCATTTATAAAATAAAGATAATTGCTTCAGAGTTGTTATAGGAGCAAATGAGACATGAAAGCACTTAATAATAAATAAACATCATACAATAAAGGAAGTTTTGCTTGTTTGCTCATTTTGGTTTTTTTTTTGACAGTTCTGGGGCTTGAACTCAGGGCTTGGATGCTGTCCCTGAGCTTTTTTGCTCAAGGTTGGTTTTCTACCACTTGAGCCACTCCTCTACTTCCAACTCTTTGGTGATTGCTAGAGATAAGAATCTCACAGATTTTCCTGCCCAGGCTGGCTTCCAACTGTGATTCTAAGATCTCATGTAGGATTATAGGTGTAAGCCACTGGTGCCCAGCCAAGGAACATCATTTAGTAACAATTGGTTATATTTATATATAACCAGAAGACAAAATGTTCAAATTTTCTTTAAGCAAACTTCTAGAAAGAACTTTTTTGATTTCTTAACTAATATCTTGGTCATTTTTCAAAGTTTATGTTCTTGAGATTTTAATTTTTCCATCAATAGCTGGGTCATGATGGTGGAGAATCAGGACTGAGTACAATAAACACTACCACTGGTTTCACACAAACTGCCTGGGAATGCAGAAATTTTTTGTGTGTGCTGGTACTGGGCCTTAAACTCAGGACCTTGCACTCTTGCTTGGCTTTTTTGCTCAAGGCTGATCTGCTACCACTTCAGCCACACCTCCACTTAGGTAGGACTTTGATGACCTGGGAGAAAGTAAAGAAAGGACACTAGGCTATGTTATTTTCTCAGGCAGCTATAATTAAACACCATAAGGGTTTTTTTTTTTTTTGGTCCAGTCGTGGGGCCTGAACTCTGGGCCTGGGTGCTGTCCCTCAGCTCTTCAGCTCAAGGCTAGTGCTCTACCACTTGAGCCACAGCACCACTTCCAGCTTTTTTCTTATGTGGTGCTGAGGAATCGAACCCAGGGCCTCATGCATGCAAGACAAGCGCTCTACCTCTGAGCTACCTTCCCAGCCCCTGGTTTTTTTTTTTTTTGGTTGTGGTTACTGTTGTTTTGTTTTGATTTTGTCGGTTGTGGGGCTTGAACTCTGGGCCTAGGCACTGTCCCTGAGCTCTTCAGCTAGTGCTCTACCACTTGAGCCACAGCGCCATTTCTGGCTTTTTCTGCTTATGTGGTGCTGAGGAATTGAACCCAGGGCATGCAAAGCAAGCACTCTACCACTGAGCCACCTTCCCAGCCCTGTGTGTCTTTTTCTTTTTCTTTCTTTTTTTTTTTTGGTCCGGTCGTGGGGCCTGAACTCTGGGCCTGGGTGCTGTCCCTCAGCTCTTCAGCTCAAGGCTAGCGCTCTACCACTTGAGCCACAGCGCCACTTCTGGCTTTTTTCTTTTTGCTTATGTGGTGCTGAGGAATTGAACCCAGTGCCTCAGGCATGCAAGGCAAGCGCTCTACCACTGAGCCATCTTCCCAGCCCCTCTTTTTCTTTTTTTTTAAACAACCACAAAAGTTTATTTTGAAGAGTTCTAGAGGCTAGGAAACCCAAGATGGTAGTGCTGGAAGTTTGGTGTCTGGGGAAGGGCCACTACCTAATTCACAAGCAGCCTGATTCACAAGGCAATGGGACAAGACACTTCTTTCTCAGATTTCTTTTGTAAGGGTATTTACCCTATTTTTGAGGGCTGTACCACAGAGCCTCTCAAAGGCTGCATATCCTAATGCAAAGAGCTGAAGAGCTCAGGGACAGCGCCCAGGCCCAGAGTTCAGGACCAATACAGACGAAAAAAAAAAAGAAAAGAAAAAAGAAAGGAGGCTGACAGACCTGTTGACACTTTGATTTTGGTCCAAACTTCCGAGTCATACAAACTTATGTGCTTCTAAACAACAGAACTGTAAGATAGTATAAATTTAATTAAAAAAAAAATTTTTTTTGCCAGTCCTAGAGCTTGATCAATCTCAGGGCTTGGGCACAGTCCCTAAGCTTCTTTTGCTCAAGGCTAGCACTCTACCACTTGAGCCACAGCACTACTTCTGGCTTTTTCTGTTTATATGATATTGAGGAATGGAACCCAGGGCTTCATACATGCTACGCAAGCACTCTATCACTAAGCTACATCCCAAGTTTGTAACATTTTGCTTCTGTCATGGGGCTTGAACTCTGGGCCTGAGCATTGTCCCTCAGCTCTTCAGCTCAAGACAAACACTCTACCACTTGAGCCACAACACTACTTCTGGTTTTCTGAGTGGTTAAATGGAAATCAGAGTCTCATGGACTTTCCTGCCCAGGCTGGCTTTGAACTGCGATCCTCAGATCTCAGCCTTCTGGGTAGCTAGGATTATAGGCCTGAGCCACTGGCGCCCTGTTAAATTTATATTTTTAAGGCACAAAATTTGAGGTAGTTTATTCCAGTAGTAATTAGCAAAACTAATATTAAAAAAATACTTAAATTTCCCCAGAAACTGGAAGTAGTCACAGGTAGCTAGATAGCAGATATAAGAAAGAAATAATAAATGATCATTTTTCAGGTTTCTAGGGCCAAACAATAATCATTCAAATAATGCAAGAAAGACTACACAATATCATTCTTACCATAGGTGTCCATGGAGTATCTGAAATGTGGGAAAAATGTATTTACATTCTTCAGTTCTTCTACAGTTAGATCCCTAAACTTGTACTGAAAAAATAAAAATAAGGAATAAAAGCTAAGCTATGAACAACAAAAAAATTACAGTAACATCTAAGTGATAATTATTGAATGTTAGGCCCTAAAGCTTTACAAACATGAAGAGTATTTGATTTTTTTTTTTTTTTTGCCGGTCGTGGGGCTTGAACTCTGGGTCTGGGAACTGCCCCTCAGTTCTTCGGCTCAAGGTGAGTGCTTTAACACTTGATCCACAAGGCCCTTCCGGTTTTCTAGTGTCTCACAGACTTTCCTGACCAGGCTAGCTTTGAACCTTGATCCTCAGATCTCAGCCTCCTGAGTAGGTAGAATTACAGGCCTGAGCCACTGGCACCCGGTTTTGGTTGTTTGTTTGTTTTTGTTTTTGGGTTTTGTTTTTTTTTTGCCAGTGCTGGGGCCTGACCTCAGGGCCTGGGCACTTTCCCTCAGCTTCTTTTGCTCAAGGTTAGCACTCAGCCACTTGAGCCACACCACCACTTCCAGCTTCTTCTGTTTATGTGGCACTGGTGAATCGAACCCAGGGTTTCATACATGCTAGGTGGAAGTAGACCTGTGGCTCAAGAGGCAGAGTGCTATCCTTAAGCAAAAAAAGCAAAAAGGATGTGTCCAGGCCTTGAGTTCAAGTCAGTAAAGGCCAGGGAGGAGCATGCACAGCTTTGGTTTGCCTGGAATTCAAGTTCCAGTACACACACACACACACACACACACACACACACACACACACACACGCACGCACACTCACATACACACTACCTATTGGTGAGGTGGAAATTGTGCGGGTGGGGGTGATGGGAAAACCCAGACTAAGAGGCAGGAAGGTAGCTTCCCTTTAGACACTGAAGCTAGTCGGGTGTCAGAAATGTAGATCAGACATCTGGGTCAGCAACTCCAATCTTTAATCTACCAACACGGAGAGGCAATCACGTGGGGTTTGAAGTTCCGCATTCATTCCTAAATCTAATCTGCTCTTTCAGTGATTTAGCACCGATTTGGTCAGGCACCGTGCTGCTGCAAGGGAATACAAAAGCAAGGGCAGTCACTACCTTCAAAAGAGCCCACAGCAGGGGGAAGGTTAGTAAATAGCCACCTCCCCAAAGTGACTTCGGATGATTTTTAAGGCAGTGGAGGGGGGAGGGGGCGCTTCGAGTCTTCCAAGGAGTGTCTCAGAGTCCAGAGAGAGGTGGAGAAGAGGATTTGATCCTAGCTGGACGTCAATGGTTCACGCCTGTAATCCTGACTACGGAACCTGAGATCGCGGTTCGCAGACTGTGGTTCCGGAACAACCCGGGCAGAAAAAGTCCGCAACACTCTGATCTCCACCTGAGAGGTGGAGCACTAGCCTGGAGTCAAATAGCTCTCGCCCAGGCCCGGAGTTCAAGCCCCAGGACAGATAGACTCACAGACTCACAGACACACACACACACACACGTCCATTCCAAGAGCAAAGGGCGTGGGCTCGGAGGCGGCAGGGCCGGGAGGGCGCCGCTAGCGGCGGTGAAGGCCGTGGCGGGGGAAGGCCGTGGCGGCCTTGGGGCTGTGGGCCGCCGCCGGTCCCGGCCCGGCCTCTCCGCAGAGCCGCCCCGCTCGGCCGGCCGCAGGCGGAGGAACGCGAGGAGGCGGCAGCCCATCCTCCCACCCCGAGTCCCCGAGCCCCCAGACAAGCCCAGCCGTCAGATCGCACCTTGCCGAGCAGCCGCCTCACGCCTTCGCAGTCGAACTCCATCACTAGGTAGGTTCTGGAGGCAGATTCCCAGACTCCAGACCTGAGGCCTTCTTCCAGACCAGTATCTGCACGGAAGCCGCGGAGGGCCAAAGGCCGGGAGCGGCCCAAAGCCCCGCCCCTTTCCCGGACTAGAAATTCCAGCCCTATCGCCCGCTGGGGCATCAGCGGGGGCTCCGCCCGGCGTCCGCGCGCATGCGCGCCTCTAGCAAACCACCCCAGAGAGCCATAGGTTTGGGGCTCTGTTCGAAATGCGTTGGCGGCTGAGAGTCCCTCTACCCAGGCTTGCTGGAAGGACACTCGACAGTCCTAAAGGGAAGAATGGGAAGGACCTTTGTAGTAGCAGTAAAGGAGGTAGAAGCAACACGGAAGTTTCTAGAAAGGTGTATTAAATGTAGCATCGTATGGGTAAAAATGGAGGCCATAAGCTTTGGTTGGATTTGGGTAGCAAAACTATAGGGGAAACAAGGTCAAGAGGAACCTTGTTACCTTCGAAGGGAAAGACAGTTGTATAAAGGCTGTGCCCTATAGTGGAGAGGGCTTGTTTCTAAAGAGAGTTGTAACCGGTGGTGGTTGCTTGGGCCTGGTGTGGTGGCTCAAGTGGTGATCTCAACTATGAGAGGCTATAGGTAGGGTCCCAGGCCTCTAGCCCAGGCTAAAACCTGGAGACTCCTATTTGAAAAGTAACCTAAAAAGAAAATTTAAAAAGGTTGGTGGAGTGTCTTAAGTGGTAGAGAGTGCCTAGAGAGCATAGGACCTTGAGTTCAAACCCCAGTGCCACCAACAGTTGAAACAGATAGTAAGATGGTTTTGTGGATAAGGTCATCTGGAGAAAGAAGATGATTAAGAGATAAAGGATAGGGTTAATTTTGTTTTGTCTCAGACTTGTGAAGCTAGCTATTCACCTTACTCTATGTCCATGGCATTAAGAAGGTGCAAGAGCTCTCATGAAGTTGGTCATTCAAGAGGGTGATTGTATGTATAGAAGGAACCAAAGGCAGCAAGGTTGTAACTCAATTGGAAGAAAGTAAAACACTGGAAGGCACATTCATTTATCCCCCAAAACTTGTTGAGCATCCACTATTTTCCTAGGTCTGAGAATATAGCATGGAACAACAACAAAAAAGGCAAAAAAATAACTGTTCTTACCTGTAATTCTTAGAAGAGGGAGGGCAAAACAGTAAACACAGCAAGTGAAATATATAGCCCGTTTGAAGGTTATAGAAATCCAGCTGTGTTCCGTTCTAAGTTACAGTAGCTTTTAGGCCGTGTGTTGCCCTGAGTGACTCCATTTTATAAAATGACACTTTGTTCCATTCTGAATGCAAATGTCTACCTCTTGTTTGGGCAAGTGAACAATCGCCATCTGTCCATCCCAAACCGTGAGACACAAACCAATTAAATAATGTTTATGCAAATATAATAGTGCCACAGATGAATTTACCAAATAAAATTAGGAATACTCAGGTATATCATAACCATAGCAGAAAAGCCAGACTGGTGAGCATAATTAACATAGCAGATAGAGGGATACTTCAATCTTCTCACCTGGATCATGTAAAAGGAAAGGCTTCTAACATTGGAGTGCAGGTGGCACTTTCCAGTGAATGTGCATCAAGGATGGACAAGTCATGAACTTGCCTATGAACTCCCAGCTGTCTATCAGCAGGGCTTCAGCTCAGCATGATTTCCCTACTTAATCCACTTCAGTTGTTATTTTCTACACTCAGTAAATATGGAACTCATTCTGTGCTTTGACACCTCTGTACCACAAATCCATTACTTGAGGTTATGTTAGAAAATTGTATTGGAAGTGGCGCTGTAGCTCAAGTGGTAGAGCGCCCGCCTTGAGCTGAAGAGCTGAGGGACAGTGCCCAGGCCCAGAGTTCAAGTCCCACGACCGACCAAAAAAAAAAAAAAAATGAAAAAGAAAATTGTCTTGAGTTAACCATTTGTTTCTGTAGCAGTAAGGTCTCTCTGAACCCTACATCTGCTTTAGCTCATTCTTTGCCATTTTGTTTTGTTTTGTTTTTGTCGGTCGTGGTGCCTGAACTCTGGGCCTGGGCGCTGTCCCTCAGCTCTTCAGCTCAAGGCTAGTGCTCTACCACTTGAGCCATAGCACCGCTTCCGGCTTTTTTCTGCTTATGCGGTGTTGAGGAATCGAACCCAGGGCCTCATGCATGCAAGGCAAGCAGTGTACCACTGAGCCACCTTCCCAGCCCTCTTTGCCATTTTGTAACCTATACTATATTATGTGAAGTGCAATATGTGATCTTGTAATAAAAGTACCTGTGATTATAAGTCACTTTAGCTACTAGATGAAATCAGTAGTACTTGGAGAATTATCACCAACAAAATTGATGTAGCTTCTTTATTTGTTGTCACTCAACAAATTCTAACATTGTGGAAAGACATAAACATGTTTGTCTATGTTTCTGACAGCTTATGATATGAAGAATATATATTTTTTTTTTTGGTCCGGTCATGGGGCCTGAACTCTCGGCCTGGGTGCTGTCCCGTAGCTCTTCAGCTCAAGGCTAGCGCTCTACCACTTGAGCCACAGTGCCACTTCCGGTTTTTTTCTTTTTTGCTTATGTAGTACTGAGGAATTGAACCCAGGGCCTCATGCACGCGCTCTACCACTGAGCCACCTTAATATTTTTTTAAATATTAAGAGGATCAGGATAGATTTCAGAGTTGAGAGAGTAGGTACGCAAATTAAAGGGCAATCATAGCAAAGTCCCAAGACTCCAACCAAGCTCATGCTTGGAGGGGCTCAAACAGCGAGGAGGAGGAGACCAGAGAATGAAGAAAGAAGTGAGGGGCTGGGAAGGTGGCTTAGGAGTAGAGCACTTGCCTTGCATGCATGAAGCCCTGAGTTTGATTCCCCAGCACCACATAAGCAAAAAGGAAGCCAGAAGTGTCACTGTGGCTCAAGTGGTAGAGTGCTAGCCTTGAGCTGAAGAGCTGAGGGACAGCGCCCAGGCCCAGAGTTCAGGCCCACGACCGAACCCAAAAAAAAAAAGAAGTGAGCAAGTGGAAATAGGGGGCAAAGTCAGAGAAGGAAACAAAGGGATAGATGGTTTACAACACTGATTCTTCCAGTGTGGTTTCCAAAACTACAACCTCAGCATTGCCTAGAACTTGTTAGAAAAGCAGATTCGTTTAAAACATGAATTGTATTGAGACAAAATTATATGTTTATTGTTTGCAGCTTGATTTTTTGAAACATAAATACATTGTAGAATGACTAACTTGAGTTAATTGACAGAAATGTAGATCCTAATATCCCACCCCAGCCTTGTTCTATCAGAAGTTCTGGAGATGGGCCCAGTATTTCAGATGATTCAGAGGTAATGAAGTCAGAGCCAAGTGTGACACCATGTAGATAATTTTAAGGACTTTTTTGTGAGTGCTCTTCAGCCTCAAACTGGAATAATAAGCTCATGTAAAAAATACAAAAGGGGGGCTGGGAAGGTGGCTCAGTGGTAGAGCGTTTGCCTTGCACGCCTGAGGCCCTGGGTTCGATTCCTCAGCGCCACATAAGCAAAAAAGAAAAAAGCCGGAAGTGGCACTGTGGCTCAAGTGGTAGAGTGCTAGCCCTGAGCTGAAGAGCTGAAGGACAGCGCCCAGGCCCAGAGTTCAGGCCCCATGACTGGACCCAATAAAAAAAAAAATACAAGAACACACCTGTATTTAACAAATTATTATTCCTATAGTGAGGGAACTGGTACTGTTACCACTGAGACAGTTCAGTGAGTGTTAGGATTCTATTAAAGGACTTAGATGAGTTAGAGGAGGCTATGAGGAAACAGGCCTTCACTCTGGATTGTATGCTGTCATGAAGTAGACATTTTGGTGACTAGCTAGCTATAAATATCATAAATACTATAAATATCGCTATAAATATTATCAGTGTGTACAAGTTTTGAGCTAGGAGTCTAATCCTAGCACTAAGAAGGCGAAGGCAAGAGGATGATGAGTTCAAGGCCATCCTCGTCTTTCAGCTATACTGTAAGACCTTGTTTTTTCTTTTCTTTTTTTTTTAAAAACTAGAGTGAAGATGAAAGTATAATTGACCAAAGAAGTAGCAGAGGGGAAGATATTTGGTATTTTATGCCTTATCCAATGACCTTGATCTTATCTCTGTTTAGACAGAATTATACAGTGGCCCTGGAATAACCTGACCAGCATCTAACAACACTGAGGTCAAGCTATGTCAGACATCTCCCTGATCTCAGGACTTGCTTTTTTCCTTTCTCAGGCTATTACTGTGAAAGAAAAAGAAGCTGGGAGAAGAGGAAGAGGGATCGTGATGGAGGTAAGTGAAAATGAATTGAAATACATTTATACATTTGCAGTAACTTCACAATGATTTCCTCCCTTTTATATATAAAGTATGCTAATAAAACAGAAAGGAAGAAAAGAAGGAGAAGCCATTGTAAGGTTTGGAACAGAAAAGTGATGTGATTCCTCTGATGATGGAGATTGAACCCAGAACCATTTGCATGTTAGGTGAGCATTCTCCCATTGAACTACATCCTAGCACTTGTGATTGAGTGTTAAAAAGAATGATTCTAAATGCTGTGTAGTAAAGAGATGATAGGGCTTAGTGTGAGGCAAGAGCAAAAGCTGGGAGAAAAGGTAGGAGGAAAACTATAGAGACAAGTTGAAAGATAAGATGTCTATTAAGTGTACTTTACCCAAATCTGAGAAACCTTGGAAACAAGTAGGACATCTAGTGGCTCCAAGATCTAACAGATACTTTTTTTTGTTTTTTTGGTCAGGCCTGGGCACTCTCCCTAAGCTTCTTTTGCTCAAGGCTAGCACTCTACTACTTTAGCCTCAGGGCCACTTCTGGCTTTTTCTGTTTATGTGGTACTGAGGAATGGAACCCAGGGCTTCATGCTTGCTAAGCAAGCACTCTACCACGAAGCCACATTCCCAGACACAGATACTATTTAGTTAGCCAGAAATCTATTCATCAAGGAAAAGGTGTGAAGCTTTCAGTGCAACCTAAACAAGTTTTATCTTTTATTAAAGAGACTCTTATGGAAGAGGCCTTCCATCCAAACCACTTAAGTCTAAGCATT